AAACATTTAGGCTACAGGTTTTAATATGACGAATATATATTCGTAAAATACAACTCTCCTGTTATTTGAAAATAGATTCATAAAATCTATTAAACAAACCTTTGTATAATATATAAACAAAAGTGTTAACAGACAACTAAATTATATGCTTTCAATTTGAATATTTTCTATTATTAGTTTCTTATGTCTATAAATAAAATCTTTTATGATGCCAGGATATATAGTCATGTTGTCCTATAATCTTAAACTTATTGACTAGATTCTAGACGATATTGCCTACTTAAAAATGTACTAATCTGATATTAATGCTAATTTTTTATATAACTACATAATAAATATGATATATATAGATTTTAAAAATATGATATCAACAGGTCACATATGTTAAGTTACATTTTAAGTTGAATACTTACGTTGAACTTGAATTAAATAAGTTTTAAATCCACACACTAATACCACAAAGCACAATTTTATAATAAAACACAGTAATTTAGAAATTTCTATAAGTAATAACACAACCACCCCGTACCGCAGCCAGGAGGCAACTAAATGGCTGGTAGAAACAAAGGACTAGTCTGGATAACGTTATGTAGAAAATTAAAAACTATAATTTATAAAACAATGTACTCCGTATTTCAGCCAGTTTTTTTTATAATAAGAAAAAAAACTCGCTGAAAATTTTTAGTTTTGTTTACTTGTATACTTTTTATGTTTTTTTTTGTATTTGTGATTTAGGACCAGTATTTATGTGACCAGTGAAAGAAAAAAAATCTTTCTTAAATGTTATTCATAATATAAATGCGAAATTTTCGAATGTATGGATGTTTGTTAGAAGGTATCTCCAGAACGGCTGAACAGATCTCGCTGAAATTTGGCATAGATGTAGAACATAGTCTGGAAAAACACATAGGCTACTCTCCGTCCCAATTAAAAAAAAAAACCTAATTAGCAACCTACATCTATGCCAAATTTAGTCGAAATTTGTTAAGCTATCCTAGAGATAGCTTCTAAAAACCATCCTTACATCTAAACATTCGCATTTATAATATTAGTAAGAAAAGCATAGAGCATAGTCATTTTCATTGTAATTAAGGAGGATTAAGCCACAGCCTTCGTCCGGGTCCAATCTGCTAATGAGGTCTCTTGTATTTCCCATTTCCCTTACATTGTGCGGTTAGCCGGGCCATTTCAACTTACAAAACATTTAGAGAAAACATGTTAACATAATTGAGGATATTCCTGCTTATTTTTCATTTATATTTTATTTCTTTTTACCGCATAACCTTAATTGTCTGATTTTATTTGACTAATACCGGTTTCCTGTGAGTTCGCTCAGAATTAAAAACATGATTAGTAGTCTATGTGTTCTTCCAGACTATGTTCTATATATATGACAAATTTCATCGAAATACATCCATCTAGACATTCACATTTATAATATAAGTAAGATGTATTTCTTTTTTTTTATAATCTGTCTTAAATTATCAAGACCAGGACTATATAATGTTAATATTTTAAAATAAAAAATCTCTACGAAAAAACTCTTTGAGTCTACAATTTCGGTTTTCGTAATGTTATGACTAACTAGCTGTTAAAAAGATGAAAACTCTCCGATGTATTACTCGGGACAGACATCTTTACTCAAAATAGTCTCGTTCATTATATTTCAGACATAGCAATAGTAAGAATTGTCGTGTTTTACTATAAAATCGATAAATCATTAAATTAATTTATGCAAGGGTTGGGTTTAATAAAATTCAATTTGAAGTCCAAAATGTTAGACGTAACCGCAGGCTTTAGAGTACCCATATTAATGAGATCCCTTGCTATTGGCATACCATTTTACTTTAAATCAATATATATCTTACTAATATTATAAATGCGAATGTTTAGATGGATGGATGATTTTTAGAAGGTATCTCTAGAACATCTCCATGGATCTCGCTGATATTTACCATAGATGTAAAAAGTAAAATAGCCTATAAGAACACATAGGTTACTTCTTTTTTCATCCCGCTCAGACGGAGTTGAGGGCGACAGCTAGTTTCCACATTTTTATATCTAACTATTATAATATTACAAAGGCAAATGTTTTGATGGATGGTTGGATGTTTGTTTGAATGTATCTCGGGAACGGCTCAACGGCTCTTGATGAAATTTTGCACAGATGTACATAGAACATGGACTGAAAAAACTTATTAATTTTGATTCGTAATTCGGCGCAGACGGTGTCGCGGGCGATAGATAGTTTCCATATTATATTATAAATTACAATATTTGCTATCATACTTTGAGTTTGGAAAGTCTAAAACATTCACATCAGATGTATCGCAGTTATTTTTTAAAGAAAGGAACTTTTTTATATGTTTTTTTGACTAGTACGAAATTACGGTTACTAATTCTAATTCGTTATTGGTTATAAAATTGCAGATAGAAAATAATATCAACCGTAGTAACGTTTATGAATAAAAAAGATATAAAGACACAAATAAAACATTTAAGTATTCAAAGGGGACTTATTTTTAATACCGAATAATCCAGTCTTTCATTGTTAAACTTCGAGAAAAGTTTTGAAAAAGGTTACTTTCCGTTCGCTTCAAATGATTCAAAGGTAAAAGGTACGCTCGCATCATAGAATTTTCAAATTGGCCACTTTTTCTCCGTTGATTTCTGACCAAATCTCTGTATAAAACATATCGTCATCCCTGTCATTATCTTTGATAAAACAGAGATAACAATATATTACAATATAAACAGATTTTGGTCTTAGAAACCCACGATAAGTATTATATTATAGCAAAATTTACAGGAAAAAAAATTCTATTTAGAAGATTTTTATTTTTATGAACATTTTGAATATGAAAAAAATTGAAATATAAGGATGGGTGAGTAATTTGTTCCCTACTTAATTTTTAATTAAAAAAAAGTAAAAAATTAAGCAAAGTTTTCCCCAAAAACTTTTATTATCTGTAACTTAATTGCCGAAGTTAAAAATTGAACCATTTCTCAAATAATGTCCGTAATTAGTTTGGTGTTAGTCGACGCTTTAAAATGAAAAATGGCTGATTAATTTTTTCTTAGGTAATAATAATAAGAAAATTCGTGCATATTATATTTTTAGGATATAAAAGTAAATGCCTATACGTCCTTCCAGACTATGTTCTGCATATGCTAAATTTTCAGCGAGATCGATACTGCCGTTCTAAAGATACCTTCAAACAAACAACCATCCATCCATCTAAACAGTCACATTTATAATATTAGTAAAAAGTTAAGTAAAACTTTCCAAAGGTATTTTTTAACAAAATTGTTTTAATTCGAGTTAAGAGAAATTATATTTAAGTACGAATTACTAATAAAATGATGAAATATGAATAATATTTTTCGATCTTACCGATAGAAAAAGTTTATGTTTAAGTTGATTATCGATCACGAATAAAATTACATTTTCTAAAAATGATTCCTAGCTAGATCGATTTATCACCCCCGAAACCACCTATATACTAAATTTTATGAAAATCGTTGTAGCCGATTCCGTGATTCCTGATGACAAGAATTGCTCATTTAAAGACATAAGATTTTCTATTTACTATATAACTAAAAGGTCTTCAAGTAAATAAATAGATATTTTGCCCAAATGAAATTAATTATTTTCACGTAGCTGTGACCAAAATAGGCACGAAAGATCTTGACAGAGGGCGCTAGGGTCGCTCCGGCGACATCATGTCTGCCAATGAAATTTTTCACACTCGGTCGTAATGCTAGTTTCACACGTGGACAGAATAGCGAGGCAGAGCAGATACAGTACCGCTATGGAACGCACACTTTTTGTTAATACAGTATCGTCTTGGCTTACAGCTTTGTCTTACTGTGCTGAACTCATTTAAAAATATTTTTTATATTTTTACCATTTTTTATAATAATGTAAATTATATGTTTTTTTTAACTTCTATTATATAAAAATAGCTAATTAACGTAAACATAATATTGCACTTCAATAACTCTGTAGAGGAAGATATGAATTTAGCAAAGCTCTTTTGGACAACAATTGAAGGTACAAATAAAAAATATCACTAATCTTATATATCTTATCTTATATCTTTAAATGAGCAATTCTTGTATAATTGGAATCTCGGAATCGGCTCCAACGATTTTCATAAAATTTGGTATATAGGGGGTTTCGGGGGCGATAAATCGATCTAACTAGGAATCATTTTTAGAAAATGCAATTTTATTCGTGTTTTATCGATAATCAACTTAAACACGAACTTAACTTTTTCTATCGGTAAGATCGAAAAATATTATTCATATTTCATCATTTTATTAGTAATTCGTACTTATATATAATTTTCAAAAAAAAAATCAAAATCAACATCGTTCTCTTTGATCCGTTATAAAAAAATTGTCATCGATCTTGTAACGTAATAAAAAATCAACCCTTCTTAACAATGTAATAAAAAACATTTCAATAATACATTTGTTATAGAGTAAATTAGATTTAAAGTCTAAAACATGTGAAAATAAATTTATTCAGGATCTAAGGAAATCCGTGTAAATTGCTTTCAAGCTTAACTTAAAAGCTCTATATTTTATACGTGAACGCGAGCTTAATGCACGTTTTCTAACATTTATTGTTTTTAAATTTATATTTATATATAAATATATACTGTATTCTCAATTTTATTTAATGGTATTTATATTTTTAATAATTATTATATTTAATTTTTAATAATTCGCTTTTGTGTCAACATTTTAATGGAATTACTTATCATATTTTATTTATTGTCATTTGTTTTAAGAAATTAATTTTTAACATGGCTATTAAATCTAATTATAATATTACATTGTATTTATGCTATGAAAAATTTCTTTGTCATATTTTTATTTAATGTACAATTTTCAATATGATTACATTCCATTAATTATTATTCTAAAAACAATAAATACATTAAAACACATTGATACGACAGTAAAACAATTAATAAAATTTATATACTTACAATTAATGTATATGTTGAAAATAATCCAAAAATCGTTCACAAAACACCAATGTTATACTAAAACACACATACGACCAACCTCGACAATTCCTGGGAACGTACTGTCTGGGATGTCGGGATCGAATCCCACCCCCGTAGCCCGGCTGAGGACCTCACGAGGGAAGATTAAAAATAAATAGCTGCCAATCGAAATCTATTGTTAACAGTTCTATATTTAAAAGTTTTATTTACAGATTTTTATTGTTTCTTTTATAGTCTTTTATTATTTTTTACACATCTGAAAACGTAACAGATTTTTTCTTCACTTAAGCACGTGACTCAGTCGTTTAATACTTAATAAAAGAGTTCCCTTAGTGTAGATTTACAAAGAGGAATCAGCTGAGGCACTGCTTAAATTATTATTAATAGTCTAATAGTATTAGGAAGTAAATTATTATTTATTTATTTGTTTTCCTTATCAAGAGAATTATTTGAATATCTCTACAATATAGTAGTTGTCTGGGACTTCTTCTGCGCGGAATTATAAAAATTACTAATTAATCTAGCCTATGTCACTAAGGGATAGTGTAGCTTCCCAACAGTGAAACAATTTTTTAAATAGGTTCAGTAGTTTAGGAGCCTATTCAATATAAAAAACCAAATCTTTCCTCTTTATAATATTAATTTAAACATACTCGTTCTATCTATATTAGGATCAATAATACTGTGCCCTCTAGTGTTTGCAATATAATGTCAAATAGAACATTTTCATAAAGGCCTTTGACCTAGAATAAAATCTATATGTCAGACAAAAGTTGCATTACATATTGCGGGTTCATTGGCACCATTTGGCAGGCATTGTCGCCAGAAAAAGAGATCCTATATTCATACTAATAATGTTCAAGGCTTTGTCTTGCCAACTATTTCAGTCGTTCTTCACTATTTTATGCACAAAGACCCATCAAATAATCTAATATTATAAATGCGAATGTTTAGATAGAAGGATGGATGGATGTTTGAAGTTATCTCCGGAACAGATGCATAGATCCTAGTCTTTAAGTTTAGTCACAATGGAATTGACATTTAGTATCAGTAAAATATCTTATTCTTAACAGTCTGGAAAACTTAATGATATGTAAATTTTAATGTAATTCAATTTAACGTACACCATAGCCTACAAGAATTCCTGTCAAACACAAGTTCTCTCGTCAATTTAATCCTCTCCAATTTCCCCGTAGAATTTCAACCGAGCTACGTCCATTAAAAAATCCTCCGAGTTCTTTGAACTTTAAGTGACAGGACCTGTTAAATGCGCTTATTCCCTCTGTCAAAAACGGACAATAAGTTATTTAATTTTGCCCGTGTGCTCGTTTTGTGTATGTAAATTTTTTTGTCATGAGAAGTAGCAGAATTTGTTTAGTACAACGTCATTGCCTAGTCCGTTTCTCTGTAGTCAATGATGAAAAAACCTCCGAGCTAGACGGTTGGTGCAACTGACAGCATTCATTTGAAAATGTCCTTCCCTCAAATCTTTACGTATTTGAAGAGTTAATTGATTACTTTTAATAAAAAAGGCCCATATTTCTTTACTACTGTTATTAATATTTAAATCAATTTCACTTATACTCTAAATGCGAATGTATGGATAGAAGGATGGATGGATGTTTGTCTGAAGGTATTTGGAAAACGGCTGTATAGATCTCGCTGAAATTTGGCGTACATATAGAACATAGTCTAGAAGATAACATAGGCTACTAATTAAGTTTTTTTAAAACCGTGCGGACGGAGTCGCGATCGTCACCTACATATAGAAAAACAATATTAGTGGAAAAAATTGTCTTTAAAATGTAAAAAAATGCCTTATGCAAAAAAACTTTGCAACTTATATACGATTATTCTAGTTACTATGTACATAATATATGTAGTGGTAAGAACATAGCAGGAGTAATATTTTTACACAGACAAATAACATGATGGTGGATGCCCCGAGAGAACACGCGCTGGCGACACAGCGTCTGCGAATCTCACAGAGCATTGAAGTGTTTTGTACGTTATATATCTGTATGATTATATTTAATAGAAAAGTTATATTAAATAGATGTGTTAGTAATTTTATATTATTACTAGCTGTCTCCCGCAACTACGTCCGCACGGAAATAAAAAAAAAACTTAATTAGTAGCCTATGTGTTCTTCCAGACTATATTCTGTCTCTATGCCAAATTACATCATCCGTTTAACCGTTAGATAACTTTAAACATCCATACAAACATTCACAATAACCCAACTTATAACAATAACATCATTTTTGGTGGCAGTAAGCTGCTTTTCGTCTTATGTCTCACAAAACGCTTTGTACATTTTGTTACATGAAAGAGACAGAAGATACAGCATACAGTTAAAGAAAAGAGATAAAATATTTCTTAGAAAGTATTAAACAAATGTTTGGAATAAAGTCGGGAGCGTCGGTGGCTCAGGGGTCAAGCACTTGACTTGCAATCTGCAGGTCTCAAGTTCGAATCCCACCATGTACCAATGTGTTTTTCTATTTCCGATTTTCATATGTATACATTTATCTGACGTTCATACGGTGAAGGAAAACATCGTGATGCAACCTGCACATATCTGAGAAGAAATTCAAAGATATGTGTGAAGTCAACCAACCCGCACTTTGCCAGCGTGGTTGACTATGGCCTAATCACCCTTAACCTAGGGTAGGCTCCGAGCCCCTCGGTGGGGACGTATAGTGAGCTGATGATGATGATTGGAATAAAGTGATCAGCTTTATCGTCAATCAATCTTAACTCCGAGATTATTTGTGACGTCAAACTAAACTGTTTAGCGATTAATTATTCTGTGTGAAGTTGGTCTGTGCGATCGGCGGGGAGCGTTGCTAAGCAACCACCGATCGTTGCCGACTCGACCTCTCGCCGATTTCACATCGCCTATTCTATTTTTTGAATTTTAAATCAAACCTCCTTTACATTCAAACGCCTTTTATTTAAATATCCAACTGTCGACAATTGAATATCACATTTTTATACAAAGATATTATTTCTCATTGGTTTTTGTTCTGGATAATTTTTTTTTATTAAAAATAATAGTAGATTTTTTGTAAATTTACTAATATTTCTTTTACCATTCCAACTAAGCTCTAGGCTTGTGCTAGGATATGGTTTACGATAATAGTCGAATCGCGGGATTCGAACCCCCGACCTCGTGATCGAAAATCTATACCCTTAACCATTAGGCTATTGATGCTTTAATAATAATTTAATTTAAATTGAGTTAATAACTTAGCTTTTTTATAGTATAAAATAATCTACGGACAAATTATTATAGTATAGCAATTTAGCAACATCATACGATACAATCTTACTAATATTATAAATGCGAATGTTTAGATGGATGTTTGTTAGAAGGTATCTCTACGGATTATTAGATATCGTTGAAATTTGGCATACATATAGAACATAGTCTGGAAGAATACTAATCAAGTTTTTTTTAATTCCGCGCGGACAAAGACACGGGCAACAGCTACATATATTTAAGCAGGTAATTTTAAATGATGGTAAGATTTTAATATAACAATATTTTAATTCTGACATTGATAGAAATGTGTATGAATAAATAAAACTGTAGCACTAATCTAGAAGTCAATCGAAAAAACGTTCATATTTTTTTCAAGTGCTATCTGAAAACGGCAGCACTAGTTTCAAAAGCCATTGAACAATTTCAATTGAAACATTTTAAAGTTTCCAAGTTTTATTTACGTACAATGAGTATGTCTATGTAAATTTCCACTGGATAATTTATATACATATACATAAAATTGTTGTGTCTGTTTGTAATAATCGATTTTTACAACATGTAAACAGACAGATAAAATTTAAAATTTTGTTAGAATTCGCTCTGTCTGTTCCGGCAAATCTCTAAAATAGCTGGATCGATTTTGACGGGACTCTAATTGGCAGGTAGATGATGATATACGGGGGAGTCCATCACCGTTCGCACTCGTCCGCAGACGGAGCCGCGGACGAGTGCGAAAGCGTGCCCGTGACCCCTTCCCGATGCGTTGGAGGAACAGAGAGGTTTAATGGGTATGCCTCCGATATAGAGGAGAATTCCACATAACTACCACGTCTCCCTCGGGGTGCGGAGTATACATAAAGCATTCCTCTCTGGGAAAAATGGTAGATGATGATATTCATGTAATAAGGAGCAACTAGGGCTACGTTTATTTTAGAAAAATAAAGTTATGTTGCAATGTCCAAGTACTGTCCAGTACTGCGAGGCACAAAGACAGTATTTCACGCGGACGAAATCGCGGGTACAGCGGAAATAAATAATTATTTGTCTAATTATGGATAGAACTAATATGGATAGCTTCAACACTTGGGAAAGAATAAAATATGGATGGATTGTGTGAAAAAAGATATGCGTAAGAAAGGAAGTGACTGCCAATCCGCTAATAATAACGAAGTAACGGCCCGAGCCGAGGTTCCTGAGGGAGATCTCAAGAAACTAAGTTCTAAGTGCCATCTGCGCTCGGCCACCTCAAGCCCAGTGAAGCTGTAAATACCTCTTCAACGCAAGCAATGGTAATTCAGTCACAATTTTTTTTTTTAATTATTCAATTGTAATTAAACTATTAACTACGCGTCAATGTATATCCGTAACTAATTAACTATCCAAATTGAAATTTCATACCAATTTTAAATCAATTAAAAATCGAAATAATTAGAAGGCATTTGAATAATATTCGATTACACACTTGATTGCTTAGTTATGTTATCATTAATGACAATTATCCATGCTTTAAGTAACAGACTTTATAATGAGAGAGATATGTTTGTTGGCATCGTAGTCTCAAACAAAAAGATGAAGAGTCTGTTTTTATTTGGTCTTTGCATAGCTGTTGTAGTATCAACACCGGTGAGAATCTATTTATTATTAAAATTATAATATTAAACTAACTGTAATACATCCGTATAGTATGAAAAATAACTTAGTAGCCTATGTGTTCTTTCTCACTCTTGGCACTTTCTAACTGAATGGCGAATTTCAGTGAAATCAGAATAATAGTTCTGGAGATAGCTTCTAACAAACATCCATCTATACATTTAAATATCTAAACAATATTAGTACAATTGAAAATGTCAAATGACCAAGTTATATCTTTGCCTAAAACATAGTTTCATCCCTGTCATTATCTTTATCAAAATAAAGATAACAATATGTTTTAGACAAGGATTTCGATCTCCGAAAAGCAGCGAAGTTTTTATGATTTTGTTTTTATTTTCCAGATCAATGATAATGACGACGATCATGATAATCAGGTTTGTGGAATATTTATCATTATATCACAAATGCTTAGTTAATTTCTGGAATTTCTATAATGATGCCTTAATTATATATCTGTACTGTATCATCAGCTTCTATACGTCCCCCCCACTGTGGAGCTCGGAGCCTAAACTAAGTTAGGAGTGACTTACTAATATATTATACTTATTGTTCAAAATCTGTAGAGTTTTCAATAAAAATAAATATATAAAAATTAATTTAACAAAAAGATAAAAGATAAATAAAAGAATTAAGCGGGAAATATTTATTGATTAATAATTTTAAAAGATATATATTAAGGTGGAAAGGAGAATATCATAATGATGCCTTTATATTTTAATTGTAGAATAAATAAAACAAAAGTTAACTTTTGTTCATTTTCGTTTAATAAAAAGGGGCCTTTGAAATACGACAAACCTAAGCAAATTAGGAAACGGCAGCCATTAAAAGTTAAAAGAGAAAATTGGAAGCCCTCGAGGATCTTTGAAGATTTTTATGTCAGCGACAAATTTTTACCCGAAACGAATTAATTTAGACGATAATTCCCCTGAGTAACGATAAAAAATTAATGATGAAAATTAGATTATCATTATTTCATGATTGAGAAGTCATTACGCACGTTGTACGCCACGTCAGCCATCGGTGGCTGACACTAGATTTGTAAGCTTACTCTAGTCTTTACACTGAACTTTTAACAGTGGTAGAGCCCGCTTTAACATCTTCGCACGAATTGGCCCGGCTCACCCGGTGAAATACCACGACCACACAGAAGACAGGCGTGAAGTGGAAGCAATTCCGCGAGCAGTCTGATGAGTTTGCCTCCCGGAGGCCTAATTTAGTCCTCTTTCCTTTCCCACCCTTTTTCTCATAAGGAAGGGATGGGAAGTGGAAGTGAACTTTCCGGATGAGAGGATGCATGGAAGAGGAGAATATTCTCTTTCTGTGCATCCTCCCCTCCGTCGATTAAAGGTAAGCAACGCGTATGCAATTGCGTATGGGCAACGGTCACTTCGCTATTTCAGCGATTTCAGGTGGCCGCTCGCTCGTTTGCCACTTTATGATATAAAAAAAAAAACTTTTATATGATTTATGATAAAAAAAAAAATCTTCCAGCACAATCAAAATCGTAGAAGATTACAAACATTAAGTTTAAAGGTAAGTGACATATTAAATTTATGAAAAAAAAAACATTTGATTTATAACAAAAACAAACAGAAAGAACAGCAAAAAGAATGGAATTTTCGTTATGAGCAACATAAATATCATATTGGAGAAATACGATTATTTTATATTACTCACAGACACTCCAATGAGAAACACTAATAAATTACTTAAGTATACTTTAACATACTCTAAGTGGCAATATTTAATTATTAATTACAGTTGGTCGATGAAAATGACGGTCAGGTAAGCGTACAAAGAATAGACAATTTTTCAAACTAATCTTCTCCCTTTTTCGTGTCATAGACAATTAGTAATAAAACATAGTAAATAATAATGAAACTAAAAAAGCCTTTATTATAATATGCAAAGATTTCTGATAACAAATCACTAATAATCCATGTAAAAATAAAAAATAAACTAGCTGTCGCCCGTGACTCCGTCCGCGGGGATATATAAAAAAACTGAATATAAAGATAAGTTAAAAAAAAAAATAATAAATTGGATCCTATGTCCGTCTCCTGACTTTAAGCTACCTCCTCACCAATATTCAGTCATATCGGTAAAGCCGTTCTTGAGTTATAAATAGTGTAACTAACACGACTTTCTTTTATATAATATATAAGAAGATTATAAATGCGAATGTTAAGATTGTTGTTTGTTTGAAGTTATCTCCAGAATGGATGTAGAACATAATCTGAAAGGACACATAGCCTACTTATTGAGTTTTTTTTTAATTCCGCGCGGACGGAGTCGTGGGCGAACGCTAGTCCAATATGTAATAACTATTACTAATTTTGTTTCTGTTAACCCTATTTTAATACATTGTAAGAATTTGATAAATATTATACATCTTGTATTACAGAGGAATAATGTAGATCGAGATGACGATGATGTAAGTAAATAATATCTCAAATTCGAGAAATATTTAACCGTAGGTTTCCACTACAGATAAACATATACAAAGAAAAATATTATCATCTTTCAAATGTTTTCTTTTTATATTATATCGTTTCCACAGAACAACGACGATCGTCGCAACAACGATGACTTTGGAGCTTTGAGGGTAATTAAACATGACATTTTAAGAATTTTTAAACTTTTTTAGGGTTCCGTACCCCGAAAGGAGTAAAAACGGAACCCAATTAGGATCACTTAGTTGCCCGTCCGTCGTCTTTAACTTTAATTAACTAAGGCATATCATAATAGACATATTATAAATGCGAAAGTTTGGATGGATGTTTATTATTACGTATCTCTAAAATGGCTTAAAGGATCTCGATGAAATTTGACACAGATGTAGAACATAGTCTGGAATAACGTAAAGGCTACTTACTAAGTTTTTTTAATCTCCATGCGGTCGAAGTCGCGGGAATTAGCTAGTCAGAGATAAATAAGGTAGATAAATGACAAATGCAACAAAACCCGACTACAACTCGAATTTGAAATTTCATTGTTTACCTACATATAGCAGCTAAGAGTGGTAAACGCTAACTCTTGTTTGTCCATCTCGGTGACGTCATGGTTGCAAGTCTCTTGTTATTGTGCACGAGTTGTTTTTCTTTTGTTTCAGGAATTGGTTAAAGAGTCATATGACGTAGATGGACCACAAGTACGCTTATTTAAATTTGTTTTTCGGTTTCCTATTTTTTTTTTACTTTTTCGATTACTATTTTTTATATCAAAAGGTGGCAAACGAGCGAGCGGCCACCTGAAATCGCTGAAAAAGCGAAGTGACTGCTGCCCATAGACATACGCAATTGCATATGCGTTGCCTACCTTTAATCGACGGAGGAGAGGATGCGCAGAAAGAAAATATCTTCCCTTTCCATGCATCCTCTCATCCGGAAAGTCAACTTCCACTTCCCATCCTTTCCTTATAAAGAAAAGGATGGGAAGGGAAAGAGGACTAAATTAGGCCTCCGGGACGCACACTCATCAGACGAAACGCGGAATTGCTTCCACTTCACGCCTGTCTTCTGTGTGGTCGTGGTATTTCACCGGGCGAGCCGGGCCGATTCGTGCGAAGATGTTAAAGCGGGCTCTACCACTGTAATTTTTTTTTTTTAGGTTACTCCTAAGAATACATATGCAAACGAGGCGAAGGTAAAATTAATATATTAGTTGCTCAATCAGTTTGTAGTTAGATTTCTTAATCGTATGTGATAAGACGGTGTACATAATTTTTATTTCATATTATTCCTTTTAGAACTCTCACCTAGATGTACTAGCTAAGGAATTGGAACGATTATCCGCGGTAAGTTACCTTATATATTCATCGTCGTTCAAAAGGTTAAAACAATGGTTAAGTAAACAGTGTCTTACACACTACATCATACTAATATTATAAATGCGAATATTTGGATGGATGGATGTTTCTTTGAAGGTCTCTCCAGAACGGCAGAACGGATCTCAATGAAATTTGGTATACACATAGAATATAGTCTGGAAGAACACATAGGCCACTATTTATCTTTTTTTTTACCGCGTATATGAGAGTCGCGGGCGACAGTTAGTTTTTCTATAAATGCTAGATTAATCGTGGGTTTTCGACACAAAAATCTCTATATAAAACATCATTGTCCCTGTCTTTTAACTTAGACAAAATAGAGATAAGAATATGTTTCAAACGACGATTTTGGTCTCATAAACCCGCAGTTAATCCATTAGTAAATATTGTATTGAACAATTTAACTCTGAACTTCGAAACTAATACAGCTCAACGATACTTCTAGTACAAAGTATATAATTCAATATAAAGTTGGAGTCAAGTTATCCAAGTCGTTCAAGTTAGACTACTGGATTCTAGCGATTGAACATTCTGTAACAATACTTAGATATTGAAGTATTTTAAGGATTACAAACTAAAGTTATATTAACACTAGAATTTACCCGCGAATTCGTCTGCGCGGAATTAAAAATAAACTTTAAGAAAATTAAAAAAAAAATAGCCTATAGCCTATAGTAAATTTATTCAAAACAGTGCGGTAGTTTTTGAGTCTATTCAATGTAAACTAACAAACCTTTCCTCTTTATAATCTTACGTATAAAATTCTCGTGTCACAATGTTTAGTTACACTTCTCCGAAACGGCTTGACCGATTTTTATGAAATTTTATATGCATATTCAGTAGGTCTGAGAAATGGCTACTATTTAATTTTTATTCCTTGGCGAACAGAGTTCCGGGCGTATTAGTATAGATTGTTAGTTGTTTCACGAAGTTTACGTTTTTTTTTCAGAAATATCAAGGCAAAGGAGTAAGTCTATCTATAATTGTTCTTTTCCTTTTTAAAACTCTAGACATTAGAAATTAAAAAAAAATTAAGTATATAGTAAAAGCTAGTTCGCGGGGTATTCGTTCCATAAATATACCGCGAATACAGAAACCGGGAATACGGAATGGTAATTTATATGGGATTATAGGGGATACGTTCCTAGGGGACAAAAAAATACATAAAAATTAATTTAATTGAATTATTTTAACATTTAATTCAATTATCTGAGAAGAAATTCAAAGATATGTGTCAACCAAACCGCACTTGGCCAGCGTGGTTGATTATGGCCTAGTCACCCTTGACTCAGGGTAGGCTCCCTTCGATGGGGACGTATAGTCTGCTGATGATGATGATGAGAATCATGCCATATTTTTATGCTATTAAAATATATTTTAAAATCTTCTTTCTTTTATTTTCAGGTTCTAAAAGTAGCATATGTAAGCATTAGGATTCTTTATCCGAATATTAAATTAATTTCTTTTAGACAATTAGCTATTATATAACAATCTTTATCTTTATATATATAATTCTTCTGTGAGTGTGTATGTCACTGAACTTCTCTCAAACGAATGGACCGATTTTGATGAAATTTTTTGTGTGTGTTCAAGGGGATCTGGGAATGGTTTAGATTTACAATTTTCATCAAATATTAACTTCATATTAATTTATTCAAATTAAAGACATGTAGACAGGACAACGTCTGTCGGGTCCGCTAGTAAATATATATATTTATTTACTCTTTTCAGAGTCCATCTAAAATTAGAAACGTGAGTTTTATTCATTCTTGTATTTAAACACATTTGCTACTTTTCATTGACGTTAATTTATTATTGTGTTTTATGTTTGTAGTTAAAGTATTATTTTTTGTTCAGGTCAACCCACGTGTCTACGATTTAGGAGTAAGTATCAATAGTAATTGCCCCAATTCGAAAGTTAAATTATGGAAACTAAAGATACAGGTCATATTTTTATGCAACGAAATTTGCTTTGTAAATTTTATAAGCAAAAAACAAAGTTTAAGACAATTTGGTTCATTTATTCTTTTCACTTTAAATGTAAAATAAGTTCATTAACAAGAATATAACTTAGATTTCACTTTCAGAGTCTTCATTTTAAATATGTAAGTAAATAAGACTTGGCATGTGCTACGAACGCTGTAGCATTTCGTAGAGGAGGGTACATGCTACGGTATGCTACAGCACTAGGCTACGTAGATGACTTGATAAGTTAATAATATAAGCGTTCTGGCGCCAGACTAAAGGAGTTTGTCGAAGGGGCACTACCGTGTACCTATATAATGCCGCATAATTTACGTATACAGCGTGTCCCGAAATTCAACAATAAAACTATAATGGTGTATAGCCAGATCGATAACTACACGGGGAAAAATACAAAAAAAAATCAACTTTTTTTGTTTAAAAGTTACATTACAGTTTTATCTTGGAATTTTGGGACACGCTGTACATTGAGATTAACACAGTTAATTCGAAATTCAAACTTAAAAACTCAACGACACATCAATGTAAAATTCATAAATAGAATTCTCTTCTAAGGGCATTCTTAAATAATATGCTATTTACAAAATCATTATTTGGTTAAACGAACAACATTCCAACAAAACAACGCTCGGAATGAAAACAATTACAATCTACTTTTAAATACGCGATTGAATCTGGTAATTATACAAATACAGCTTTATAGTCAGACTGACTTATCTGGCCCGGTGACGATGGTGTCAGAACATATTGAAAATATATTAAGACTTAGAAAATGTAACCCAAAAGAAGAAGATATGGCAAAATTTTCAAGAGACCGTAGCTCATTTTTGTACTAGATGTCGCCCGCGACTCCGTCCGTGCGGAATTATAAATACCTCAATTAGTAGCCTATGTGTTCTTTCAGACTATGTTCTACATCTATGCCTTCAGCGAGATCCACCCAGCCATTGCGGATATACTTTCAAACAAACATCCATCCATCTAAACATTAGCATTTATAATATTAGTAAGATTGACAAGGGGTATCAATGCATTGTACTTTAGTTTCTATATTTGTCTACCGTGCCAGATAAGTTGGTCGCACTATATTAGTACTAAGTTCAGATTAATCTAACAACATGGTTCTATACGTAATATTAGAGTTAACTGCTTATTGTTGATTTCTTAAATATTTTTTACAGCTTGCACCACAAGTTTCACCACTGGTAAGATTTTCAACTTCTATCAAATTTTTTAAATATTTTTCAATTAAGTTCATTGTAAATTTTTATATAAAGTTATTAAAAAAACAATATTTATGTTTACTTCTTAATTTTTAGCAACATTACCAGACACTTAATAATAAGGTTAATATAAAGTTTAATTTAAATAAATTAAGTTAGGAGTGTATAGGCCATAGTCAACCATGCCCAGTACTGGTTGGTTGAATTTCTTCTTACATATGTGCAGCATCACGATGTTTTCCTTCACCGTAACAACGTACAATGTACCTATGTAAATCGAATCGAAAAACACATTGGTACATTTTGGGAATTGAACCCATGACCTGTAGATTGCAAGTTAAGTGTTTAATTCCTAAGCCACCGACGCTCCAAACTTTCGCATTTATAATATTAGTAAAATAAGTAAGATTAGGATGTAAGATTAACTTCAATATTATATTACTTATTTCAGTTATTCCAACACCTTGGCGAGAGAGTAAGTTCTTCAATTTTTAATAGCTCAGTTACTTTTTCATGTCTACAGCTTTCTTCAAAAATTAACCCCTTGATAAAATTATAAAATCACGCTTTAGCTTGGTTACCGAAATTATAAATTCATGAATCAATGAATTTCTTAAAAACATAATCAAAATGTATGGATGGATTGTGTAAAAATAGATGTACGTATATTTTTAGACATTATTAGTTAGAATCCTTTGGCGCCAATGGCTCGCTTCCATTACAAAGTTAAGTGTCAGATTGATTAGTGAGGGGACATAAACGTCGACATTTTAATAAGGCTAGTGTTGTGATACACCGACACGTTGTCGGATTTCCTTCCTAACAGTATAAAGGGAATTAATTTAGATATGACAACTGATTGAGATGTATGAAAGAGTACTATTCTGCCGACCCTCAGTAGGGATAAGGTGATTTGTACCACATTTATCATGGAAATCTTTTTATTTTAGGAAGGTTATCATTACAATGGCGATAAGGTAATCAGATCTTAGTTTTGTTTTTCTTTTTATAACTTTACTTTAATCCGTAAAAACAATAACTGTGGGTTTTCGAGTCCAAAATCCCCGTTTACAACATATTGTTATCTCTGTTTTATTAAAGATGAAAGACAGGGATGACGATATGTTTTATATAGAGATGTTGTCAAGAAGTTTGTAATGTATTTTATTTTTTGCGTATTTTTAGCATCCTTACCATTATTATAATGATAGGGTATGTATCATGTTATTTATAAAAATACATGTAAATTAGTCCTTTATAAATAATGTATATATATACAGCATGTCCCAAAATTCAACGATAAAACCGAAATGGTGTATATCCAGATCGATAACTTCACGGGGAAAAATATTTAAAAAATCCATCTCTTTTTGTTTAAAAGTTATATTAACTTTTGTAATTTGATACCATCCACCATATGATTAGACACTGTGGCTACAAATAAGAAGATCTTCCTGCAGTTTTTTTTTTTGTATTAGCTACCTAACTAACATAGCTATTAATTGAAGTTAAAAATTAAACCAAAATATTAGTAATTTACTGTTTTCTTATAATTTTAGAACATTTTAACTTTTGACCACATGCGACTTTGTAAAAAACCTCCATCACCCTTTTACTGTTGAATATTTGGACACGCTGTATAAATCTAATTATATTTTTTTATAGTACGACCATCCCTACTTGAACCAATATAAACCGGTTAGTAAATCATTTTAAATCCATTATTTTTATGTTAGTGGTATTCTTTATTTAGTTTTGAGACAAATACACTGTAACCGTGATATAGTCACACAATTTGATCAGCTTATTTGACCTTCTAGTTAGATAAAACAATAATTTCAGTTAAAAACGTCGAGTGTTTTTTTTAATTATTCTCGTTTTGCCTCTAGGATTATCCTGGCTACGGGCACCCAAATAACTACGTAAGTTTTAGTTAATAGATAGATGATAGTCTATGGAAACGTATTTTAATTTTAGTAGCGAAATAAATAGTAAAAAATAAATTTTATAATAGCTGTCGCCCCTGACTCCGTTCGCGCGGAATTATAAAATCTTAATTAGTAGGTTTGTTCTTCCAGACTATGTTCTACATCTATGCCAAATTTCAGCCAAATCCATTTAGCCGTTCTGGAAATAACTTCCAACACACATCCATCCAAATATTAGCATTTATATTAGTAAGATACTATGAACAGCACCGAATTAATTTATTTCATGTGTAATCCAAACTGAAGCACATTATGACGTCACAAAGTACTTTTACATGTTCTATTAATGCACGACATTTGCTCGCAATGTTCTGCAAAGTTACATTAATATGTTTTACTCTATAAGATATATTTGTTCCGGAGAAACTCAAAAACTACTCGATAGACTAAAAATTCTTTAACCAATATAATGAATGATACTATGTCTTCAAAAATCCTGTTATTTTCAGGTATATGGCTACTTGGTAACTAAATTTTAAATATATTTTACATAATTTTAAAGACCTAAATTATCAGCAATAAAAATATTTCTTATTTCTACCGTGGGTAAATTAAGGGAACCGTATCTGGCAATACAAAGTCACATTAAATTAGCCAAATTTTCTTTTCTTCTTTATCATTATTTTCGTTTAATTACAGAGAGACAGACCAGATGATGATGACGATGATGATAACAATAATAACAACAATAACAATTAAGAAGTAACGAATATTACCAAAAAAAAACAAAATTGGCGCGAAATTGGACACGGATTTTTTTAATTAGATAATTTAGCAAATATACAGTTGCAGCAATATTTTGTGTGTTTTTCACCTAAGAAGTTTTTTTACGTATAGAATATAACAAAATATTGATAGGTACATTTTCATCACTTATATCACCAGAACCCAAAACTTAGAAGCAAAGTTCAACTTAATCGTTTAAAATATCTGATATCACCAAGTTGCCCTTTTCCCTACAGAGGGTCAGCATAGTTTGTACCACTTATCCATACATCTCTATCGACCGTCATATCTGAATTGGGGGGTGCCCTTCTCATGCATATCCTCTGCCACAAAATCCATCGAGATTGAGTATGCTGATTTTCTTGTCAAATAAATTAAAAAAATAACATGTAACACTGATTTTCAAGTAAACTTAAGTAGCTCCAGCAATAAGAGTGGTATTAAATTTATATTCAGAGTTAAATTCACATCAATAAAAAAAATTATTCTGTAAATTAAACTTTGAACCGCTAGATGTAAATATTTAATTCAATGACAATATTCAAGAAATATACATTTTAATACACTTTATTTATTTCATAGTAAAACAGTAATTAATGCAGTAACCAGGCTGGCAACCCTGCTGATCCATTTAATATACTCTTTGGTCCAAACCAAGTGACAGTGACAAATGACATAAAATAAAAATGCCTTTTACAAAAAAGTTTGACTTCATATGGTTCATATAATTATATTTTTGAATTTATAAACTTTTTAAAATAAAACCTTAATTTAAAATGTCTTCAACGATAGACCAGAAGGCATACTTACAAAAGTATTTAACTGGAACAACTGCTATCAAAAAAAAGAAGAAGAAAAAAGTCGTGAAAGGACAAGGGTAAGTTTTATAAATGTTTTTATATTGTACTTGCCGTCGCCCGTGACTCCATCCCCGCGGATTTTAAAACAAACTTGATAAGTGGACTTTGTGTTCCTTCAGGCTATGTTTTACATCTATGCCAGATTTCACCAAAATCCGTTGAGCTGTTCCGAAGATACGTCCAAACAAATATCCATCCATCTAAACATTCGTAGTAATAATATTAGTAAGATACATGTTTGATGTGGTTAGATTCGAGAAATAATGCAATTGAACATATAAATTTCAATAATATAAAATCCACAATAAATATGGTATTTTCACTTTTAACAGATCTAAATTTACACTTTTATGCCTCAATTATTAGCTTAATTTATATAATTTTGTACCATATATTTCAGATTCAAGATAATAGACGATGACATAGATTTGACCAAATTACGAGCACTAGAAGGTGATGAACTGGATATTCTGGATGATGGAGAAGATGCGCCGCAAATTGCTGGCATCATTGATGAGAGGCCAGAAGAAATTAAAAAGATGGAACAATTTAAAACTACCTCAAAATGGCGAGTTATCAATCAGGTATGTTGTTTCTTTACAATCAAAACATGAGATATAGAACTACATAATTACATCAAGTGACAAAGTCTTATAAATTGATAATTACTAGGTGGCATTCGCACAAAACATCACATTACACTTGAACCAAGAGTTGCCGATTGTGCATGATGAGGTAGCAGCCGAATCATGCATCAGACTATGTTCTAGATATATTTCCAATTTCATTGGGATCCATTACATTCAAACAAGCATCCATCCATCCAAACATAAGCATTAATAATGTTGGTAAGATTAAAATAAATTGCTGCTTTAGTTTTTTCTTAATTGTGATAAGCACTTCATAGTCCCCCAATAAACTATGCACACTTTTATTATTATCAAAATCAATCTTTTTAATCTTTGTTTTTTTATCTTGTGTTTATAAAGTAAAGGGAATGATTCCAATACTCTTTCATTTATTTTAAGGATGATGGATTCAACAGTAAATTGCAAATTGAAGAAATCAAAAAAGATGTCAAAGAAATTGAAAAAGAAAATGAGTTAATATTCGGTAAAATGTACAGCGATTCCGAGGATGAAAAGAAAACTGACTCTGACCTTTCACCACCACGAAAAGGTGCCAAAGAAATTGAAAAGAATTCAAAAAGACGGAATAGTGACAGTGATTTTAGTCCACCAAGAAAAAGAAATACAGAAACACCACCAAAGAGAACAAAATCGAATGATAAAAATTACGATTCAGATTTTTCACCTCCAAGGCGAAAAGAAAGTCAAATATCAAGGGAGAAATCTAGAAAACAAAGTCGATGGGAGAAAATAGATGATACTAACAATAGGAATAGATCTCCGAGAACTGAAAAAATGGATAAAAAACAAAAATCTGACAAACAATCAAAACAAAATAAGCACTCAAAAAGATCTAGCAGTTCTGATTTATCACCACCGAGAAAATCTCAAAAAACTAGAAATGGTACTGACAAATCACCTCGGAAATCCAGAAGAGATTCACCAAATAAAATCAGAAATTGTAGTCCAGATTCCGATCTATCTCCACCTAGAAAAAGAAGAGAATCAAGAGAGAGATATGATAAAAAATATACAGAGAGATATGAATCTTCCAAAGATAGTTATCAAAAAGATAAACGGAAAAGGAAACATGACAGTGACTCTGACATGTCTCCTCCGAGAAGAGATAGAGAAAAGACTTATAAGAGAAATAATGACAGTCCTCCTCCATCTAATAAAAAAATGGCAAGAACTTTAGAAGGAAAACAAGCGGGACTTCAAGATGCTATACAACTAAGGCAAGAGAGTGAGATGTTTAGGAAGAAAGAAGAGGAAGCATTCAGTAAAATGACCGATGATGTTTCTGGAAGAAATGCCAAAGCAGTTTCAAGGAAAGGTAAGTGATAGATAAATCAACATCTCTTGCACAAATGGGTCAGCTGGCCCGGTGCAATACCACAACCTTACAGAAGATATGCCTCAAGTGAGTCATTCCATGTTGTCTGATGAGTGTGAGTCCCGGAGGATTAAATTTAGTCCTCTTTCCCTTCCCACCCATTTCTAATAAGGAAAGGATGTGTGTCAAAGTGGATTTGACAGAGAAGTGGATGCATTAGAAGGGGAAATATTATCTTTCTGTGCATCCCCACACCTTCAATTAATAGTAGGCAACTCATCTGCATTTGTTGATATCTATGGACAGTGGTTGCTTTGTTATATTGATGAAGTGAGGTGGCCCCTGGCTTGTCATCTTCTTATATATAAAATTCTCGTGTCACAATTTTCGTTCCCATACTCCTCCGAAACTGCTTGACCGATTCTCATGAAATTTTGTGAGCATATTGAGTACCTCTGAGAATCGGTCAACTTATATTTTTAATCCCGCGCGGACGAAGTCGCTGGCGACAGCTAATCTTTATATATATATAATTCTTCTGTGAGTGTGCATGTCACTGAACTTCTCTCAAACGTCTGGACCGATTTTGATGAAATTTTTTGTGTGTGTTCAAGGGGATCTGGGAATGGTTTAGATTCACAATTTTGTCCGCTGGACAATGTTTTTTTAATTAATTTTTAATTTATTAGTAGTTGTTGATTTTGGAATGTTTTACATTGGATCCGACAGACGGCGCTACCATCGCAGTGTCAAATTGTCAGACAACGTCTGTCGGGTCCGCTAGTATGATATAAAAATCTCAAAATGGCGACTATGGCTAAGTTTTGATGAGAAAGAACTACATTAAATTACTCTGAATGTAGTCAAAATTACTTATTATTTATTAAGAAAATCTTAAGTGTAGATTTCTCTTCTTAATTCTACACTTAGGAATGTTTAAAGTTGTGTAGTATTGAGTATATAATAAAACATTATTGACTTGATTTATGTACAAAGCTTTGTTTTCATTTTTTTTCCTTAGGTAAAAGGGAGACATCAGAAGACAGACAGAAACAGAAAGAAAAAGCCGAGAGACAAAAAGAGTTGGATGAAAAATATAAAAGATGGAATAAAGGGTAAGATTAAAATTTAATATGTTATTAAAACTTTTTTTTAAATTTCAATGGGTTTTTAGTACACATAAATTACTTTTTAAAATGTATTTCAATTGCCTAAAAAAAATCAATTTTCTACAAATGCATTTTTCTGTTAAAGTTGTATTAGAATTTTATTTCATTGTAATTTTTTTTTTTATCTTTCCAGAATAAAACAAGTAGAAGCCCAAGAGGCTAAGATACAAGAATATATGCACGAAGCATCAAAACCTTTAGCAAGACATAGAGATGACAGAGATCTGGAAGATACACTAAAAGGAGTTGAAAGAGATGGAGATCCGATGCTGAGGTATATCAAAGAGAAGAAAGTAGAGAGAGGAGAGTTGCCACCTGGTATGTATCACATTAGTAACTGTCGCCCATGACTCCGTCTGCAAGGAATTAAAAAAAAACTTAGTAGCCTATGTGTTCTTCCAGATGTCCTACATCTATGCCAAATTTCAGCGAGATCCGTTCAGCCGTTCAGGAGATACTTTCTAACATCCATCCATACAAATATTCACATTTATAATATTAGTAACTTCTATATAGATTATACATTTTTACATAGGAATTATAATTTTTCAAAATATATTCGGAAATTTTTTACAATAAGATAAATTTTTATCGGTGACCTTGATTTATTAGTTTGACAATGAAAAAAAAAATTCCATGTAAATATTCTACCAATTGGCTGATTTTAAATATTACTAAAATAAATAAGAATGTTTAGATGGATGGATGTTTGAAGGTATCTCCGGAAAGGCTGAACGGATCATGATGAAATTTGGCACACATATAGAACATAGCCTGGAATCATTTATAATACTATATTTGTTGTCTTTTTTACAGAGAAACCTAAATACAAGGGCAATTTTCCACCGAATAGATTTAACATAAGACCCGGCTATCGTTGGGACGGTGTTGACAGATCAAATGGTTATGAAAAGAAATACTTTGACCAACAAAGCAAGAGGAAAGCTCAACAAGAAGAAGCATATAAATGGAGTACAGAAGATTTGTAAATATATACATAAAGTATTTTTTATTAAATCAATAATTTGGTAAAAAAAAATTTAACAATTTTTTACCTAGATATTTTGTAATTTTTTTTATAAACTTAAAATAAAGATAGGCGGTATATAGCATATTAAAAAAACTAAATAAATAATCTATGTATTCTTCCATACTATGTTCTACAACTGTACCAAATTACATAAAGATCCGTTGAGCAGTTCCCGAGATACCTTCAAACATACATCCATCTAAACTTTCGAATTTATAATATAAGTAAGTTATTACTTATTTAAAAAAAAACAAATAACAGATTTAAATAACTCATATATTATTTTAAAACACACAGATTCATGAAAATCGCCAGAATTAAAGTTAGTGTAAAATCAAAACTCCATAAGCGAGAAAAACATCCGTATCTCTTGGACTGTCGCTTATCCAGGATTGACTATATTAATATATATTTTACTACAACAAAAATAAAAGCAAATATACAACATATCAGTCATAATAAGATTCTCTTTACATATTATTTGATATTTTTTATACCAATAAAAAAATCATGTAGTAATTACTCTATCTAACAAATAAATAAATGCGTTTTTTTTTGCATTTCTTAACAATTTTAATTTAATATATAATTATTAAAATGTTACATATTTTTAATATTAATAAAAGCTTATTACTATTTAAGTATTACAAGTTAATATGCTTATTTGTTTTTAATAATAAACTTGGCTACAAAACACTTAAATCTTTAACGAAAAAAAGTTAAGTCTGGTTTAAATTTTCATTATTTTTCCTTTTAGATTAATGATAAAAATACATTACAATATAGATAATTTAAATAGATCTTATAATCATCATCAGCTCACTGTAAGTCCCCACCGAGGGGCTCGGAGCCTGCCCTGAGTTAGGGGTGATTAAGCCATAGTCAACCACGCTGGCCAAGTGCGGGTTGGTTGACTTCACACAAATCTTTGAATTTCTTCTCAGATATGTGCAGGTTGCATCACGATGTTTTCCTTCACCGTAAGAACGTCGGATAAATGTACATATGTAAATAGGAAATACAAAAACACATTGGTACATGGCGGGATCCCAAGACCTGTAAATTGCAAGTCAAGTGACCCCTGAGCCACCGACGATCTTATAGTAATTTTTCAAAATAACTGGAACAGTTGTTAAATTAAAAACAATTTTGTAGTACTTTTTCTACTAAAAGTAGTAGAACCACTAAAGTTTACAGTTAGCTCTAAAAAGCTGTTTTAGAGAGTTTTGACTACATACATTAATATTATTACTCTATTATTCCAAATAAACGTCTCAATTTTATTAATAACAACACATTTTATACTAAATTTCATACATTTTAAAATAAAAACTACTTTTGTTTAAAAAAAACCTTTTCTCACATTTAAGCTCTATTATAATTATCAATTTTATTTAACTTTATGCCAAAAATTCCCACAAAATATGATGAAATAACTTCAAGGCGTTTATTTGGAACGTGATATAAATTAGTATAATTACTAAAATTAGTAAGATTACTAATTACGTCGTCCCCTATATCCTCCACGGCCCCTACGATCATCTTCATACCGTCCCTGAGAGTAACCCTGCCCTTGGTTTGGTTGAGGATGGTATGTTCTGTAACCTGGAATTATTAAAAATTAACCTTTAACAAAGACAAGTTGACGCAATTAGAAAACAAGAACTTAATTAGTAGCCTATGTGTCCTTCCGGAGTATGTCCTACATCAATGATAAATTTCAGTGACATCCATTCAATCGTTCCGGAGATGCTTTCTAACAAACATCCATCTAAACATTCGCATTTATAATATTATTAAGATAATGAGAAATGACCGTATTTTTTAAATATTAATTCAATCTTACTAATATTATAAATGCGAATATTTAGAAGGATGTTTGTTAGAAAGTATCTCCGGAACAGCTCAATGGACCTCGGAGAAATTTGTCATAGATGTAGAAAATAATCTGGAAGAACACATAGGCTACATATCTAGTTAATTCCGCGTGCAATAGCGGGAGACAGCTAGTAAATATATACACATACCTGGTGTAGTATAACCTTGGTTATAAGTTCCAGCGCTGTCATAACCTTGATTGTAACCTTGGTTTTGGTTATAACCATGATTCTGTTGAAAATTCTGACCATAACCGCCCGGCGGCACTTCAAACGTTTGGTAATTACGGTGATTCGGGTTTTGGTTGTAATTTTGATTAAGAGACCTGAAATTAAAAAATATATATATAAAGATTAAATTTAAAAAAAAAATCTTATAAACTAGCTGTCGCCCGCAAGTCCGTCCTCGTTTAAAAAACTTAATCTATGTGTTCTTCCAGACTACATTCTCTATCTATGACAAATTTCAGCAAGATATATGCAGCTATTGTGCAGATACCTTCAAACAAATATCCATCCATCCAAACATTCGTTTTTTAAGCAAGATTTACATCAACTAAATAGTTAATCATCATCAGCTCACTATACTTTCCCTCTGAGTGGCTCGGAGCCTACCCTAAGTTAAGGGTAACTAGGCCATAGTCAACCACGCTGACCAAGTGCGGGTTGACTTCACACATATCTTTGAATTTCTTCTCAGAATTTTTAATAGCTATAAATAATTGTGTAAGTTGACTAACTGACCTATTTTGATCCTGCTGTCCCTGATTGTAGCCGCCTTGTACCCTGCCGCCCCCTCCCCTGCCGCGTCCCCCTCCACTGCCATCACGTCCACCTCTCTGACCACCACCACGACCACCCTGCAATACGTAAAAAAATACTTAGTTGTACTATAACTCTCTGATAGTAAATGAACTTTTGTATTCGGTGCAATAGGAGTTTACTTATTACATACAAAAATACAAATATTTCTTTTTTATATTATAATATAGATAGTTGAGTTAATCATAAAGGGACATGGAATAATACTAATATTATAAATTTGAATGTTTAGATTGATAGATGGATGAATGGATATTTGTTTGAAGATTTCTCCAGAACGGCTGCATGGATCTCGATGAAATTTGGTATACATATAGAACATAGTCTGGAAGAACACATAGCCTACTAATTAAGTTTTTTTTTATTTCCACGTCGACGGAGTAGCAGGCGATTGCTAGTTATATATAATATTGGTAAGAGAAATGTGACAATCATATATATATTATAAGAAGAGATTTAATAGTAAAATCAGTTTATTACCTGAGGCGCAGATCTCTGTTGCCAAGATGGCATCTCCGGAGGTGGGGGCTGTTGCTCATTGGGACGACCACCTCGGTCAGGTACCTGGAAATCAAAATATATATATATATGTGTACAACATATTTCATAGAAAGATATATATAATGTGTAAACTGATGACATTATATACCTCGACATAGTTTAACAATTATGATTTAACTTCAACTAACAAATTATATGAATGATAACAATAAAGAACAATTGTTTTTTTTATATCATAAGATGGCAAACAATTGCATATGCGTTGCCTACCTTTAATCGACGGAGGAGAGGATGCACAGAAAGTAAACATTTTCCACTTCCATGCATCCTCTCACCCGGAAAGTCCATTTCCTCTTCCCATCCCTTCCTTATGAGAAAAAGGGTGGGAAGGGAAAGAGGACTAAATTAGGCCTCCGGGACGCACACTCATCAGACTGTACGCGGAATTGCTTCCACTTGAGGCCTGTCTTCTGTGTGGTCGTGGTATTTCACCAGGCGAGCCGGGACAATTAAACTTTTGATGATGTGACTTTTAACTTCTATTTATGTGAAATAAGGTGCTTCTGATTCTGCAGCTTTTTACGGTGATGGAAAACATCGTGATGCTGCACATATATTTGAAAAAATTCAAAGATATGTGTGAAGTCAACCGCACTGCCAGCGTGGTTGACTATGACCTAGTCACTAACTTAGGATAGGCTCCGAGCTCCTCAGTGGGGACGGATCTGATGATGCAACAAATTTGAGCAATTATTTTTTTTTGACTTCAACATACTAGAGCAGTGGTTCCCAAACTTATTTTGTCTACTGCCCACTCTAAGGAAAATCTTTTTTTTTAGCGCCCCCATATTTCTATATATTTAAAAACCACTATAACTTTAAATTAAATTAATTAATTATTGTGACCTATATATGTATATTAACGGAGAATTCTAAACGAAACTTTTAGTATAACCCACAACTTGAGACCTGCAGCGCCCACAAGGGGGCGTTATCGCCCACTTTGGGAAAGACTGGTCTAGAGGAATAATTTTTAACTTCAACTAACCTGACCAATGATGACTTTGTTGACTTCAGACTGTGTATTCTTCCTTACATTAGCGCTGGAAGTTTTATCAACATGTAATAATGATGTTCTCGCAGCAAGAAAATCACAAAGTTTCACCTCCGGTTTAACTTTCATCTGCTCACGTTTTGGTCTATATATTGCTTGCATTTGATCCTTTTTACCTTTGAGACGATCTGACCACTAAAATAATAAGTTAATTATTATTCAATAGCCATGGTTTGTTTGTGTAGAATCTAATAGAGATGACAAAGACATTTGGCAAGCGGGAGGTATAAAAATAAAATACAAAAACTCGTAGACAAAGTTCAAGGCAACTCTGAAATTCCTACATGATTTTTATTAGTACTCTAGCACGTGTCTGCAACTTAGCAAGGAATTAAAATAAAAATAATCTAAGTTACTCTTGCCCACATAAGCTACCTTCTAGTAAAAGTCCTAATAAAATCGGTACATGTATTTCAGAGATTACCCGGAACAAACATGGACAGACAGACAAAAATTACATACACACATTCATTTTTCAAATTGTATAGATATAAGTAATATATATAGATATTGTTGTCTTTGATTTTCCATAGATATTTTTAGTTTTTTAGTTATTAGAACTGACATCTACAGAATCTTCATTTGTACTGTTTTTTGCACATATTCTTCAAACTAAAAAGTGTTTTTTATATTTTTTTTATGCTAGTGTTTGTAAGTAAGTCAATGTAAGCATACCTCAAAACTTTGTATAGTACATTCCAGCCTAGATATTAAAGTTTCCCGTCTCAATCTATATTCATCATACATCTCGGTGAAAATATTATCCAACTCTTTCCAATCTTTCTCAGTCAACGCTTTGTTATACAATGGCTTCCCGACTAACTGCTGACCTGAAAAAGGATATACAATAAAAATCGGATATAAAAGCAACAATGGGATGACAATATTCAGTCTTAATAAGAGTATATAATATTTTTTAATATTAAATGGGTTGATGTCATATAAAACAGTTGGAACTGGATAAACAAGAGCCCAAGCGACAACAATATCTTTCTTGCGTATTGTGGTCCATCAGAGACAATGACTTAGTTTTCTCGCTTACCCAGGTTTCCTTAAAAAAGTTCCTATTAGTAGTTTATTCCAGGAATATTTTTGAATATTAGACAATTTGAAAAGATTCAATATTTAGTTGTTAAAATCAGACAAAATGTTAAGATAACCAAAAGTTACAATACTAAACACTAAACCATTTTATGAGTTACTAGCTGTCGCCCGCAACTGCGTCCAGGTGGTTAAAAAAAAACTAAAAAAGTAGCCTGTGTTCTTCCAGGATATGTTCTACATCTATGTCAAATTTCACAGAGATCCATTAAGCCGTTCGGGAAATACCTTTAAACAAACATCCATCCATCTAAACATTTGCATATATATTTATATAACATGTAAAAAATCCTACCTTCTTTTTGAATAGTTTCCTTTAATTTTGCTTCCAGTTTAGAGAACAGCACCTCTGGTGTAATATTGGGTGGAGGTTTGTTAAATTTCAAAGCAATTAATATTTCTTTCAATGCTTTAGCGGTCGGAGATTCTTGCTGGAAAACATTACTACATAAGTAAAACGAGTGAGTTTCAACAAACAAGAGACAAAATCTGTGCATAAAACATATTACTATTGCCCACACTACTTTGATAAAGTTCAAGCGTTGGTTTATTCTTAAACCTGGCTGTCGCCTGCGACTCTGTCTGCACAGAATTAAAAATAAACTTAATAAGTAACCTATGTGTTCTCCCAGGCTATGTTCTATATCTGTGTCAAATTTTAGTGATATCAATGTAGCCGCTCTGCAGATACCTTGTAACAAACATCCATCCATTCACATTTATAATATTAGCAAAATCTTTTCTACAGATCTAATAAGAATTGGAAAGTTAAACAAGCATTTGCTCGTGACTTCTTTTGCGCGGAATTTTAAAATCTCGTTATAAATATATCCCATATATTACTAGGGTAGGGGGATTGTAAAGCTCTCCAACTTTGAAAGAATTTTTCAAATTGCTTAAGTAGTTTTGGAGCCTATTCAAAGCGATTAATGAAGTTCTCTTTATAATATTAGTGTAGATAAGTGGTTCCCAAATTTATTTTGTCTACTGTCCACTTTGAGAATAAATATTTTTTTAGCGCCCCCATATTTTCACATATTTAAAAACCACTATAACTTCAAATTAAATTAATGAATTATTGTGACCTATATATGTATATTAACGGAGAATTCTAAAGGAAACTTTTACTATAACCCGCAACTTGAGACCTGCAGCGCCCACAAGGGGGCGTTATCGTCCACTTTGGGAAAGACTGTAGATAATAAATTTACATTTACCATAACAATATCCATATTTGGTGGTTGGTTTTCATTTGGACAATCAACACTGACCATCCTAGCAGCCATTATCTCCGATATCAAATAGTCAAGTAACGTCACTCTTGTTTCTTTTGTCTGTAATCTAGATGACATATGTCCTGAAAAAGACAATAAAATTTTTAACAATTTTTTTTTGTATATAAAGCAAGAATTCAAGTGAATGAAACATTTTTCTCGCTTGTAGGAGTTTGTCATTTAGGACAACACAATGCCTAACTTATAGAGGTTTCGCGCTTATTCTGGTTTGACTATATCTGTTTTCTAAAAGCGAAGCCCTATTTATCTAAATTTAGCGGGTGGATTAAAATATATTATCTGTCATTAATTAATGGCAACCATTTTAGATTTACAATACCAATCAATATTAAATTGTATCATTAGCAATAAAGGTAACAAACCACTTCAAAGTATCATATTAAATTGTAAACAGGGAAGAATAACAATTTCAACCAAAACTTTAATAAATGTACAATAGAATAAGCTTAAAAAAACCGTTAAAAATAGTATAAATTATGAGGTAAGGCTTGTTTATAACATTTCAATATTCATTCATTTGGAATAATGCATACTAACTCACCTGAAATCAATCCTCTGTATGGACAACCTAACTCTTTGAGAAAGGAACTCAATTCCAACATAAAAGAGCTTGTTTCCTCCAAACTATTAATCGTATTAACTGATTCTTCTACTTTACATAATGTTTTCAGTTCTCCAGCCAATTCGCATACGAGTTTAATAAAGTCCAAAGACTTGAGTCCATCGTCAATAGCTTTTGAGAATGCATCAGGATCAGATAATGGGCCGTCATATCTAAAACAAAAGAGAAATAGAACAGTGGTAGAGAACGTTTTAACATCTTCGCACGAATTGGCCCGGCTCGCCCGGTGAAATACCACGACCACACAGAAGACAGGCGTGAAGTGGAAGCAATTCCGCGTTTCGTCTCATGAGTGTGCGTTCCAGAGGCCTAATTTAGTCCTCTTTCCCTTCCTACTTTTTTTTTATAAGGAAATGGAACTGGACTTTCCGGATGAGAGGATGCATGGGAAGGGAAAATATTTTCTTTGCGTGCAACCTCTCCTCCGTCGATTAAAGGTAGGCAACGTATATGCAATTGCGTATGTCTATGGGCAGCGGTCACTTCGCTATTTCAGCAATTTCAGGTGGCCTTTAATGATTTATGATAATTTACTGCTTATTTTGAAAAAGATGCTCATATAGGGGATGTTCTATTACTCTATTAAGTTGCATAACTTATTAATTAATGTCATATTTATTGTAATTGGAATTAAAATAACTTCATTGATTCATCACCATAAGGTTTAATCTATTTTTGGAATCTTTGGTATATGATTTTTTTTTTAAGAAATCGGGGCAAACGAGTAATTGGAACATCATGGTGATCAACATAAGTTGAGATCCACAACACCTGAGGAACTGCAGATGTGTTGCTGACTTTGAAGGTTTTTCATCAAAAGACCTGAGTTTATTTCTTAAATTTAAGAATGAACACAAATCTGACGTAGCAAACAGAATTGCACAATATTTATATGATTTCACAATCTCTTGAAAATAATGTTGGCTTATATAACTATATAACTCATATTAAAGCAATCAAGTTTAAAAACTCCTTTCGTAAATAAAAATAAGTGAGTCATATTTTCTTCCAATCTTCAATCTCTTAAACAATATCACGTTAAATTCGCAGAGCGTAATATATAGTATATATTTTTTCCTAAAATTATAAATAAAATGAAGAAGTTTTAGATACGTTGATCACACCTTAATTTAATTGTAGACGTCTAGAGTAAAAAATGTACGAATTCGAAAATTTCATTGTTATGGAATTTACGAGAAGTTTCCAGCTTCATAAGACACAAAACAACGTATCAACCTTCTATAAATCATTTAAAAGATTGTACGATTCTTGTTTCATCTACATCGAAATTTTTCTCGAACCATATTGAATTTTTTCTCATTGATGTGCTTGAATAGAATTAAGATTAAACTTACCCTAAGTCGCCAAGTGAGTCAAATATGTCGTTTTCCATTTTTATATTATAAACTCAGTTAATAGTTTTTTTCCAAACGCTTAGAAATAGAAAATAACCAACACACCAGACACCGGTTGGAAAAAATTAGAGTTGTCAATGTCAAATCTGGCATAAGACAAATCAATAAACCATAAACTACAAATATAGATTATGAAACACGAAGATCGAAATTTTGTGCAATAAGAAATCTTTTCAATACATTTTTAATAATACTTATCTGTATATGACATATTTTTAAAAATCTTAGTTATTGGGTAAGCAGACCACTTCTTTAGATTTTAGTTAGTTTAATTTTGGAATTCAGAACCATCTTTACTTATCCAAGCATCCTGATGACAATGGAATTTATATAAAAAAAATTTAGCAGACTGCATTTTAGTTTTCTAGCTTGCTTTTAATAACAATAAATCTTTTATTCAGACACATGGTCCATACAAAACAAAAATACAAATTTGAATTCTAGCACAAAAAAAAAACATAAAATTATTCAGGGTACATGTAGACGTGTCCACATGGCCAGTCCAATCCCACTCCATCAACAATGAGTTGCAGGTAGCTATTGGCGCTGTCCCGCACTCGGCACATCAGGGATGCTGCTGTCTTCCTGATCAATGCGGCGAAGCCGTCAACACCAGCATCAGCAAACATCCCAGACGCGCGGCAGTCCCAACAGAGCCCTGAACCCATTGTTGTATTGAACCCGCAAGGCACTGTAAGCCCTTTGCGAACGCTAGCAGGTTCGTTGATCATCAAAAATAGTAACTATCTTCTGTTATTCCATGGCAAAGCTACAGTTTCAATTACATACCAATACAAATTGGCTGCATATCTAGTGAATTGTCAAACTAATCTATCTTAAATAGACACTATAGGGAAAATACAAACCATCTTGTCTGAGGTCGAGTAACGCTGATTTTTTTGCTTGAGCTACCTTTCTAGAACTATTTGCTAATGTAGCCACCTAATTCGTAACTTAAGGGTTAAGGGGTTACAAAAATAGTTATTTTTCACAAAATCTTTAATGTAGTAACAATAGTGTGTAACACATATATAAAAAACCAAAGTACACAATGGCGCACCCGTTGCGGGCATGTACGCATCTAAATGCAATTTTCGTGCGTAAAATAAATTTTATCTCGTGCTTTAAGACACATTGTGGTTAATCACAGATTCAAAAATTGTGAAAGAAAAAAAAACAACCACCTTAGTCTATTTAAACCCTGAAAATCGATATTAAAATGAATTACATAATATATGTATTTAAATCATATGTTTATTTAATGCATTTCAAAATTAACTTATTGACATATATTTAAAGAGAAAAAAAAGTTACACATATTAAAAACTTTTGCATAGAGGACGAAATAAAAGTTACTTTAGGTGCTAGTTATTTTTTTTCATATTTTATGTATCGTATATATTAAATCCGGCTGCGGTATCCGGGGTGGACAGGGCAGCGGCGTACAGCCCTTAGTCAACGGTTTACTTGTGCTTGAGAATTGTGTTCTTGAGTTTGTCGACATTAGCTCCGGAGAACTCTTCGAGTTTCTTAGAAGACTTTACGAAAACAAAGGTCGGCATTGAATTGATGTTGTACTCGGTCGCAATGTCCTCGCATTCGTCGACATCCACCTGTAAAATGTTTAATTCATATAAACTAGATTTTAATAAAAAAAACTGACCTACCCAATAACAATAATAATCTCCTAAGGAAAAATATTAATCAAATGCCATTGTGTTGCACAACTTAATCGAATTATTATTAATATAGGTATTATATAATTTTTATCATTCATCATACTGTAAAAACCATTTTGGGTTTAATTTATAAATAATTTTCCTTCACAGTCCAAAAAAAAGAACTGGCTGAACGTCAACCAACAATAAACAAACAAGTTATTTTTTTAGTTTTACGAACTGGTTTGAATTTTAAATGATTTTCGACAATCAACAAGATAAATATTGTAATTATATTTAATTTAATTCAGATTAAAAATATTGTTTTAAAAGTAATCTAAATGACGCGTAGTAATGCACATTTTCTTCTTAAATGCATTGTTCGAGTAATCTTTTAGCACTGAACTACTAAACGGAATATATTAAACTAGTTTTGGCCTCGACCTTGCAGTGGCCTTCGTCGAGACTATGTATATAAAAGCATTACTTATTATCCATTGAAAATCAGCATGGCGGCCATTGCAATATCTTATATCATTTCAAATAATAGATTATAAAGTAAATTCTTTATTTCATAAAATTCTGTCAGAACAAAAGCCAATATACGCGCGAAAAACATAACCTCTAAAGACTAAATAAAAATTACAATTAATGACTTTAAGTATACCGTTCTAGGCTAAACTGACCTTCAGCACAACAATAGAGTCAGCCATCTCAGTGGCCATCTCATCTAGCTTGGGCCCAATCATCTTGCAGGGCCCGCACCAGGTGGCCATGAAGTCAATCACCACCAGCTTTTCACCAGCCTCCGCCAGCCTGGTCTTCAGGTCCTCAGAGTCCTTGATGTGGATCGACATTTTACCTAGACAATGAGAAAATTACATTTTACTATTATGATACGCCTTAGCAACTTTTAGACATTATCAGTTATCATTTGGCGCGAAGCATATTGCTAATAGCATACCAGATGACCGCTTGTTTTTTTTGTCGTCTTATATAGGAAAATATAGTTGCAAACAAGTAATATCACATTCATTGCAATAATCTGCTATTTTATAACAAAATGTCAGTTACAATACAAGGTTCTGATTAACGATACGTGAAGGCTGAACTCTGGTTGAAATATCATCCTATAAGGACACTAGGACGACGTTTATTGCGATTCAAGGTCAAAACTTTGTAAACAAGACATTTCATTATCAAATAAGAAACCAAACTTATAAAAATAATCAAAATGTATCTATATCAATATGACAATATCGCCTATCTCTTTCATACCGTAGAACATCTCCCCGTCCTTGTCCTACTCATGTAGGGTCAACGCCCCAGTTTTTGGCCGCCATTTCGATCGAATCTTTCGTCATTTCAATCGTCACCTTCTTAATCATGTTATTTTTCACGCTATCCATCCTTCCCTGGCCCTATTGGGTTTTTTCCTTTTTTTAGGAATCAAATCCAAGTGCCTACTCTACATATCCAACCTCCAGTCCGTTTGAAGCGATGACGTCATGATAAATAATTTTGCATTCACATCCGTCTATGTTGTAAAGTTTTCTCAGGCAAATTAGTCACCGTTAAATTATATCCCGACGATGACTTAGCGATTTATTAAAAAAAACTAGCTGTCGCCCGCAATTATAGCCTATGTGTTCTTCCAGACTATGTTCTACATATATTATATGGCAAATTTTAGAATGATCCGTTGAGCAGTTTTGCAGATATCTTCAAACATCCATCCATTTATACGTTCGCATTTATAATATTAGTAAGATTAAAAAATGTCGATTGCTTTATTAGAAATTTCGATTATTAATAATCCACTTCAAACAAAGACCTTTTTGTAAACAAACATAGGTACGTCAATGATGGACGTCTAAAAAATGGTTTCCTAAAATATGTCGTTATCCACAAAGTTTAACGTAAAAGGTCTTTACAAAGTTTTGATATTAAATTGGTTTAATCTACAAGATTTATGCTGATACGACGCATTGCAGTTAGTAGTTACCTTTACGTTTTCGACCTTGAAGTATCGAACGAACCCTCATGATTTTGTCGTATTCTTTATAATTCACTTTAAAATTTAAAAAAAAAACTAAATAAATGTATAAACAGTAATAAAACCTGTAATTTGGATAAAATAAACAAAAAATTTATAACATTTTACTTATAAGGAAAACCGTTCGAAAAAATACATTGCCAATCAGTTTGACAGGCAAGAAAACAATAAAAATCTGTGTTCAAATTGAAAAAAAAAAGGAAAATGAATTGGTTCAAAAATCTTAAAAATAAAATAAATATGAACACGCGATAAAAACAATAACTCACCTCTCAAAAAATATTTTAAAAATCAGTCTTTACGTACACTATACATAAATACTCTTTGGTGTTTTTACGAATGGCCAGTGCCACGGCTATTGAATGACTATTTAAATGTTCAGAAACTTTTTATATAAAACCACTAGTTTCCTAGCCTTAGTCATTCACAGATGACGTCACTTCTTTTTTTTTTAAATCATGACAGTTGCAAGGAAACTGAAGCAATGACGAAACAGTATAAGGAATTGAAATATATTTTATTTATTTGACAGAAGCCTGCTGCATTTCACATCGGGGTTTTCCCATTGGATCGATCCAATAGGACATCTTCCCATTCACCTAAACCTAGTCTGATAAAAAAATAAAAAGAAAATGTCAATACGAAAGTTTGGAATGATACAATCACAATACAACTCTAGAACGGCTGAACTGGTCGGGATGAAATTTGGAACCTATAGTTTAGTTTGGAAGAGCACATAGAGATCTTAAGATTTTTTTTAAATTCCACAAACTAAAACGAAGGCGCGGTCGGAATTTAAAATAAATAACTAGAAGCCTAACCCCTACTACAACTAACTGTGGGTTCTTGAGCTCAAAATCTTTATAAAACATTGTCAACCCTGTCATTATCTCCGACAAAACAGTGATAACAATATGTTTTAAACAGGTATTTAGGTTAGGAAACTCACGGTAATGCTAATCCCATACAGTATTGATTAATGTAACACAAACTAGGTCGGCTTACGTCATCGTAAGTATTGTATTTCAAGACATATCAATATCGTAGAATCAATCTTATTGGAAGTAAGTACTAAAACAATATTAAATCGTTTTGTACAGGCTCACCATGTCGACAATATGTATGATAAAGCGTAGAAAAGTGCAAGAAGATGACGATAAAGGCATGTTATTAACATTAATTTTGTTAGGGCTCAATAAAGGTTAAATAGTTATGTTTTACTAATTATCACACAGATCTCTATAAATAGTATAGGCAATTGCTTGAAATCAACACCTTTTGCTTTGTCCTGATTTAGACGCACCTATTGATGTTATGTGACAGTTAATTGTATTTAAATTGTTGGTTCAAATCCACACCACCACCACAAATCATTACTATCAATACTAAAATGGAGAAAATCAAATAGGCACAAAATACCATGTCTCATAGCCAGTCTATTTATAGAGGTCAGTATATCATATTGATTCATTTGTTTTTTGTGGTTAGTAATCATTATAATCTTCAACCATACATCTTATATTATAAATGCAAATGTTTGTATGCATGGACATTAATTAGAAGATATCTCCAAAACAAGTGCATGGATCCTGCTGAAATTTGGCATAGATATAGGAAAACATAGGCTACTGATTAAGTTTAATATAATTCCGTGCAGAGTCATGGCCGACAGCTAGTAAAAGAATAAATATGTATTGCAATTGTCGCTGAAAACTATATTTAACATAGAAAGATAGAAGTTAAGTATTTAACAATACTAAAAATGTTTACCGTGTAACCGCGATATGCCTTATCATGTTTTAAATGATAACACTAAACAGACAAACTGCAAGTAGTTTTTATATAAAAATACACATGGTATGAATAGGTTAGATATTATTACTAAAAGATGTACAGTTGAAACACTCGGAAGAAGTATATTGCTTTGTTTTTAATTTAAAAAAGTATGAGTGGAGTAACATTTATCTGACTGCCAAAAGGCTAATGTTTTTGATACAATTACACATGAGAATTTGTTTATTCCATTGTGAACTTGTGACTTAAATCGCAAACCTTATTTTAATTATAATTAGGGTTTTTAACTAAACAATAGTTTTTTTAGAAGTTAGAGGTTTATATCAGTGTAAAATTTTTTCTATTATAAAGGGTGTTCATTTTTAAATTTAACTAAATAAGTGCTGATGAGATATTAAATACAACTAATATTTTATATGTAATTGAATGAAACATTATTTCCAGTGTAAGATCAGTTGCCAGGGTTTATGTATCGGAAAATAATTAGTTTAGAAATTCTTATTTAGCTTCAAAAGTTTATGATATTTGTTCCAACTGAAGGAGGAATGTCAGTAAAATGCAGTATTGGAATGCCTGGAAATACAGATCAAAATATCATGTCTATTAATAAATAAAAAACATGACTCACAAAATGCCTAGACATTTATAATACTTTGTACACATACAAGCATAATATCGTAATGGTATTTTTAAATTGCCTGGTAGTAGGAACCATTCTAACTGGTCACTCACAATAGTATACGCATAATTTACACCATAATTACCCACAATGACGTAAGTACCCACGTACCCACACTTAGCAAGTTTATAATCATTACACGCATTCATACCATGTTAACACTTTTCCTTACCGTCTAAATAGCTCTCTGAGTATGATTAGGCAATAATTGACATGAAATATGACATTGAAATGCTATTGTAATCAATAGCAAATAGTACAGTAAGAAAAAATCAATCGATCTAAGCAAAAGTGCAAGGTCATATAAGTATATATAATAACCATACGAATATTGTATTTAACAGTTAAGTGTGAAACATTAAAGCTATCATAATAAACTAAATAATAACTTACCTTGTGTGAAAATTTCTTTAATAACAATTAAAACCGGTGCAACACGCGGCTACTACTACTGTCACAAACTCACAAATCACAATCAAGTGAAAATGAAAAATAACGCGACAAAACAGTGCTGCCAATTAAAAAATGTTATTTGCCATTTTATATTTTTATAATTTTAAATCACGCAAAGCCCATTTAATTACAAGATTATCGGAAACGAAGTCGGAAAGAATTTTTGAAAATGAAATTAATAATAGTGATTTCAGGTTGTTGTAATCCATTCCAACTCTTTGTCCTTTGTTTATCGTTACGAATACGTTCATAGACAATTTATTTCACTGACTGACAGTTTTTGTCATTATGATTTCCGTTTCCGACGAAGGAACTTATTTTTGTCAGTTGTCATTCAGTTTTATTACAAAAAAAACATAAAACATTTATATTTATCAAATTGAAGAGTAAGCATTAAATAGAAACAATACAAAGATGTCTGTAGATATTAACGTTATCGGATCGCATAAGATAAGAAGCATTCCTGGGGGAGAGGTAAAGATACAATTTTTTATTGTTTTTGTTAACTTTTGTTACATTATTTAGTAAATACATTTATTTTCGATTTGCCGCATTATTTTTATTTCGATTATGTTCATTTTCCAATTAAATTGATTTCAATTACAATTTCATATTTCTATTACACGGATTCACGAAAAACCGGTTGTAATGAAAGTGAAGCGAAGAGCAATTATTTATAATTAGAACAGAGTTCGGATTTTATATAATAATGATTACGATATTTAGATATAAAATGATATGTAATAAAAAAATATTGTTGAAAGAAAGTTATTTGACTTCTGATGGTATAGTGAGATTTTAGGGAAGAAATCTACAAACTACATTTTAAGCATAGTTAATATTTAAAACACTATTGAAATAAATTCTAATGCACTTTGCACCGATGCACTCAACTTTGTAAGATACATTTTTATCTTATGGATCTTTATTAAGCAATACTAGTATCACAAACATAAATGATAAGATATAATTTATCATATAAATTTGGTATAGGAGAAGTTTATTAGATATCTGTTGGTACAAATAAAATCCTACATGGTCACTGATGCAAGGTAAGGCATTTATAGCCTTTTGTAGCCTATAATTTGAAGTTTATAATTTGATTGAAAAAATTCAACGCTTGTCATTTATGTTGATAAAATTAAATTGCTTCAAGCAATTATTCTAAACTAGCTGTCGCACTCGAATCCGTCCATGGGGAACTAATAAGTAGTCTATGTGTTCTTCCAGATTATGTTCTATATGTGTGTCAAATTTCATCCAAATCTGTTGAGCCGTTCTAGAGATGCCTTGAAACAAATGTCCATCCATCTAATATTAGTAAGATAAGTTAGTACTTGAGCATAATCCCACCTATTGTTAAGTGATGATGTAGTTTAAAGATGGTATAAGCTACACTCTTAAAGGCCCTCACATCATTTGTAAAAAATGATGCCGGCAACTGCCTAAAGCAGTCTATGTATAGTATCCTTAAAATCCTCCATAGAGATATTTCCAGAGATTAAAGTATAATACTAGATATAGAGTGGACATAATGAACACTTTGTATCAAATGGAATAGTGTAGTTCTTAATGTGCCATCTATTGATATATTAAATATCTAAGCCAACATTTTGTGTATTTATTTACATTTTAAAGATTCTATTATTGATAGAACTAAATTAATATTAAATCATCTATGGGTACTAATTAAATGATCGTTTAAATATTGTTAAATTTTTTTTTATCTTTTATGCAGCAAGTGGAACTAAAGACCTTCTGGCAAGATCAAGATGCTGTGGTGATCTTCTTTCGTCGTTGGGGCTGCATGCTGTGCAGGCTCTGGGCTAAGGAGGTAAGAAACTTGTGTTCTCTCTGCCAAAAAACTATAAAAATATATTGTAAGCTCTAACATTCTCTATTAAAAACAGATATGTCTTTTTGTTTATTTTTTATTTTTTTATATCTTAAGGTGGCAAACGAGCGAGCGGCCACCTGAAATCGCTGAAATAGCGAAGTGACCGTTGCCCATAGACATATGTAAATTGCATGTGCGTTGCCTACCTTTGATTGACGGAGGAGAAGATGCACTGAGAGAAAATATTTTCCCATTCCATGCATCCTCTCATCCGGAAAGTCCACTTCCACTTCCCATGCTTTTCATATAAGAAGAAGGGTGGGAAGGTAAAGAGGACTAAATTAGGCCTCCGGGACGCACACTCATCAGACGAAACGCGGAATAGCTTCCACTTCAAGTCTGTCTTCTGTGTGGTCGTGATATTTCACCGGGCGAGCCGGACCAATTCGTGCGAAGATGTTAAAGCGGGCTCTACCACTGTTAAACTGTTTGTGTGTATTGTGTAACACTGTTTATGTTTCGGCAGTGGGAATAAGCCGTAAAATGTGTGTTTTGTAAACATTGTGATATAATATGTACAAGGTCGGAATAATTGCATATAACTATTATGTTTACTTGCCGATGAAAACAATGATTCTCTGCATGCGATCAAGTTAATTTTATGTTAAAATTGAAAAAAACTATCGTAATTATATTAACGTCCTATTGTAAACTGTATGTCAATTAATGTTTTGCTTTTCATCTTATTTACTAGCTTGTGGACTTCGTCTGTGTGGAATAAAAAAAACATGATTAGTAGTCTATGTGTTTTTCCCGACTATGTTCTATATGTATGCAAAATTTAATCGAGATCTGTTTAGCCAATCTGGAGTTACCTAATAACAAACATCCATCCAAATATTCACATTAATAATATTATTAAGATTGTTATGAAGTGAAGCTGGGTTGAACATCTGCTTTTTTGTTATTATAATATATAATATATATATTAATTTGTATACAAATATGTTTTTCAGTTGAGCGAGATAGCACCAGTTTTGAAGAAGAATAACATAAAACTGGTTGGAATTGGTGTAGAGAATGCCGGCTCTAAGGAATTCTTGGAGGGAAAGTTTTTTGATGGAGGTAAGTTTATTTTTTTTAATAGTTCTCTTCCAAATTAAAAATTAAACACATTACATTTTATTTGGTTTAAAATTAACAAAAAAATGCATTCATAAACTGTTAGGCACTGTTAATCGTCTTCCTTTTTTAATTATGGTTAGTTTTTTTTACCATTTCTGTAAGATTCTACAGGAAATATAATATACAAAAATACTATACATATTTTAAGAGAGAGAATATATAAGAAATTATTGGATCATCATCATCATCGGCTCACTATACGTCCCCACCGAGGGGCTCGGAGCCTACCCTAAGTTAAGGGTGATTAGGCCATAGTCAACCACGCTGGCCAAGTGCGGGTTGGTTGACTTCACACATATCTTTGAACCTCCTCTAAGACATGTGCAGGTTGCATATTATTGAATAGTTTTATTTACTTTCAGAGTTATATCATGTGGATGATATATCAACATATCACACTTTGGGCTTCAAAAGATTCAATGTCGTCTCAATTATCACATCATTATTCTGGAAACAATCAAGAGAAGCAATTGCTAAAGGAAGAGGAATGGGTAAAGTATACATCATTTGTATAGACTTAAAGATACACTTAGTGTTGATTTAATTATTAATGTATATTAAATATTGGTTAAATACACATTAAAATAATTAAAGTTAGTATCGGTGAGTAATTTTATTGATTCAGACAAGTTATAATTGCGCAATTTTCTTATACATTTTCCTGTTTAATGTTGTGTAATTATATATGTAATGTCATTAGAGTAGTATCATCCCCACCGAGGGTCTCGGAGTCTACCCACAGTTGGGGGTGATTTGGCCATAGTCAACCACGCTGGCCAAGTGCGGGTTGGTTGACTTCACACAAATCTTTGAATTTCTTCTCGGATATGTGCAGGTTGCATCACGATGTTTTCCTTCACCGTAAGAACGTCGGATAAATGTACATATGTAAATCGGAAATGGAAAAACACATTGGTACATGGCGGGATTCGAACCCAGGACCTGCAGATTGCAAGTCAAGTGCTTGACCACTGAGCCACCGACGCTCACCTAGTAGTATTTGTCTATATAATTGTCGCCCGCGCCTCCGCCCGTAATTAAAAAATTAAAACTTAATTAGTAGCCTATGTGTTCTACATTTATGTCAAATTTCAGCGAGATCCATGCAAACGTTCTGGAGATACCTTCTAACAAACATCCATATTAACATTCGGATTTATAATATTAGATGGAAATGTTAGTCGGATGCTTGATAATTTTCTTTTTTTAGAAATTAGCTTAAAACAATTAGTAATATGAATAAAAATGCTGTAAATAAAATATAGGTTTGCACAGCGATTTAAACGGAGATGGTTTACAAAATGGCGGCGCATTGTTGATCAAAAATGGCGGCAAGTTACGTCACTTCGTGCAACTCTTTCCCGCGGATATGTTACCGAATGCGGAGATTCTAGAGGTTTTTATATATATGTATATTTGTATGTTTGTGTAATTAGGTCTAGGTGGTGATTACAAAGGTGATTGGGTGCAAACAGGGGGCGCGTTGTTAGTTGAAAAGGGCGGGAATGTGATCCGCCATTTTGTACAAACGGGACCGGGTGATCATTTGAATAATAAGGATATCTTGAAGGTGGGTTTAGAAGTTTTTTTTTTTTAATAAGATAAGCATGGTTTTAGGGTAAAAGATTTTGTTTATTGTATTGTAGTCTGTAATAGATTAAATTGTTACAATTTTTTATGTGATTTTCTTAAGTAGCAATTAAAATGTTATAATATTTTAGCATTTCAACCTTGAAGCAGAATATAAGGAGGAGACAATGGCTAATAAAGTCCGGGATAACATTGAATGTAATGTATGTACATTATTATTTACTTTTAATATTATGTATTAAGTAAGAATTTCATCATCATCATCATCATCAGCTCACTATACCTCCCCACTAAGCTCAGAGCCTACCCTAAGTTAGTGACTAGGCCATAATCAATGCTAGCCCGGTTCGGGTTGCCTTCACACATGTCTTTGAATTTCTTGGACAGAGTCGCAGGCTACAGCAAGTGTTGTAATATTTGTATAAATGTAGTTAGATGTGTAACTAATATTGGTGTCAAACACATTTTCAATTTCCAGACAGAAGCCAAGTGATAAACTAAGTGTGAAGAATTTCCTTCCATTTGAGCCGATTCATGTTATTTGGTGCTCGAGAAGATGTAAGCAGACTAAAGTCTAGCAGGATAAGGTTTAATATAACTTGCTTTTTTGGGGCAGGGTAACTATAATATTCATAATTGTGATATTTGTTTCTTAATATTTTATTTTCGAAATTACAATTGTCTATATTTTTAATTTGTGTTTTATTTGTATTGAAATTTAATTTTAAGGTTTTCATATTAAAAATAAATGGATTATTAATTGTGTAATTCTTTAAATTAAATTAATTAAAAATAAAAATATAAGGAAGGTTTTTTATGTGTAAAAATATGGAATTTTACTGCTAAAATAATTAGCAATAAGCTAAACATGATATTTGCTATTATAATCTGCCAGGATCGCTATGAATTTTATTTAGAGATAAAATAATATTTTATTTCATCTCTAAATAAAATCATTATTACAAATTGATTTTATTTATAAATGTTCATTATAAAGAAAACAAGAAGAAATTCAAAAGTCATATTTTATTTAGATGTTAAAAATTTTATATAAATAATTTTTATTAGGTGCTAATTCACAGTTGTCTTGACTAACTTTCATAAATCTAATACTTATAAATTAAAAATCATAAATATTAGCTAAATAAATAATAGTAATAGGTTTACAAATGTCTTTCTTTTAGTCTTCATAATAATTAATTTACTCATAAAATATTAGTCTGAAAGTCTTGGAAAAAAAGATCGCAGTAAAAATAATATTGAACTTCGTCAGTTTATAATTGAACCAGTCACGTACATTCAGTCATTTTTAACTGTATTTATTACTTATTACATTTCTTTTTTTATATCATAAGGTGACAAACTGGTGAACGGCTAACTGAAATCGCTGAAATAGCGAAGTGACCGTTGCCTATAGATATACAATTGCAGATGCGTTGCCTACCTTTATCACTTACTCGACATTGATACAAACTTTTTTGTATTTTTTCCTCTACCTTTCGTTGAGATCGCACATAAACTGTAATTAGGTGTCATATAATATATCTTTTCTTCATCAACATCGTGATATATTATGTTATTGTCTGCATCAAATACAATACGAAAAGGTGTTCCACTACCAAAAGCACCGATTTCTACCAAACTATCCTTGCTATAGTCTAGTTTATAAACTCCTCGACTCGCTGGCTGAATGAAATGTACTTCCCCATTTTTGTCTATGGCCAGTGAGAATATTTCATCTATGAAAAATTCTGCGTTCTTAGTGCCGTTCTTTAATCGATAAATAATTGATTCGCTCATGAAATATAAATCGTTCTTCTTATCGATAACGAAATCATCTATTTGATAACTCGATAGTTGCGGGATAATCTTTGATTTATTTTTATCGTAAATATAAATACCGTTAGATTTAAATAAAGAATAATAAAGTTTGTTTTTATATTGTAAATGCCATATAGTTTTGTCTGTTAGTCCTATGGATTTGATCTTTTTAGTTATTGGATTGTATTTATAAATTGCAACTGTACCAGACATGTAAACTTCTCTAGTTTTTTGGTCGATTGCTCGCCCGAAAGTAAATGCCATTTTTGGGATTGGGATTATATTGAATTTGATATTATTTAAATCGAAGGCTCCTGTGTGGTCTATTGAATGATTTGTTTGGTAATGAAAATAGAGAATATTAGCGGTTTTATCAACAGCCAGTTGTCCGGAGAATTTATGAGCGGTGAAGACATTGGACCGAGTGTGGCAGATTCCATCGAAGCATGCGTGACAAGATGGCCGACGGTAGGGTAAAACACCAGTGATAGTTGACAGTACAAATATTAATTTCATTTTAGTTCTGAAAAGAAACGATAATAAATATAAGATAGGAAGATTTTAGGAAAATACTACATAGAAAAAACTGATTACTTTTTTTTTAAAGTTGAATGTTTGCTTAGTGTTCAGGTGATCATTAATTATAAATAAACTGCCAGCATTTAAATAACAATGTTTTTAGAAATACCATTAAATTGACCATAACGTGGTTGCGTAAAAAACTAAGATAAAGACTCAATAAAATGCACACGAAGTATTATGATAATAGTGAGACGTCTCTTGTGTCTTTAATTCGAATTATGAGATTTATTTCGTAATAATATCAAAATATAAACTTACTTGAACTTCCGATCCGCCATTATCACACTTGATAATTAAAAAAAAGAAAGTATAAAAACAAAGGAATATTTTTTATCTACACCCGTAAGGTAGCATTTATTATTTATGACTAAACTCTATGATTTCGTTACCAGCTGTTTTAATGATTGTCGCCATGACGTTTTGACCTTTTGTATATTTTTATCATCGGAATGATTAATTAGGTAAACAAGTTCTATAGTAGTTACGCATTAATCATTACTTAGTTTTATTGTTTATTAAACTTGGGAGAAAACCCTGGAATTTTTTGAAGATAATGTAGTTTCCGCACATATTAAAACAAAAATAAAGAAGTTATCGATCGACTAGCTGTCGCTTGCGACTACGTCCGCGCGGAATTAAAAAATAAATTAGTGGGATATGTGTTCTTCCATTCTATGTTCTACATCTATGTCAAGTTTCAGCAATGCCCCATGCAGCCGTTCTAAGGATAACTTTAAACAAACATCCATCCAAAACCATTCGCGTTTATAATATTAGTAAGATTAATAACCCACTATCTTACTAAATAAGCATCCCATTCGTAATTTTCAACACAACTTGATAACAATCAATATTCAATTATGTTTTTACAATAAATGAGAAATAAACATATTATAGTCTGCATCCATATTGTTATGTTGCATTATGTATGTCCGTTATGTTGTAACTTGTAGTTAGATTTGACTGATTATAAAGCAAATGGGAGGTTATTGACTTTTCCAAAAAAAACAATGATTTTACAGTGGTAGAGGCCGCTTTAACAACTTCCCATGAATTGGCCCGGCTCGCCCGGTGAAATACCACGACACAGAAGACAGGCGTGAAGTGGAAGCAATTCCGCGTTTCGTCTGAAGAGTGTGCGTCCCGAAGGCCTTATTTAGTCTTCTTTCCCTTCCCACCCTTTTTTTCATAAGGAAGGGATGGGAAGTGGAAATGGACTTTCCGGATGAGAGGATGCATGGAAAGGGAAAAATATTTTCTTTCTGTGCATCCTCTCCTCCGTCGATTAAAGGTAGGCAATGCAAATGCAATTGCGTATGTCTATGGGCAACGGTCACTTCGCTATTTCAGCGATTTTAGGTGGCCGCTCGCCCTTTTTCCACCTTATGATATAAAAAAAAAGTTATGATTTTTTTCTTATTACTTTCCAATTATAATCGTCTTTCGATCGATTTAATAATTAAATAGACTCACTTGGAAGTTGTTTTAAATTAATTTTGCCTTGAAATTCAAGGTTAAATGAAAAACAAAAGAGGTTTATTGAAAATTGTAATGTTTTAAAAAATATTATCGATTAAATATTTTGAAAAGTGTCTCAGTTTGTGGACGCAACATGAATGTTTTGATGATGTTTTTCAAAATATTTAGATGTAGTTACAGCACGTAATGATGTTATGAAAATGTATATCTTATGTTGAATGTTTTAAATCTGCTCAAATTAATCCAACATGGGTCAGTTACGTTTCATCGTTCGAAGTGTCAGTGGTGAAGTGAAATCTCGCTCTAATGGTGAGTTTGGAATTTCCATTTTTTATAATATTAAAATTTATCATCGTTTCTTTTCTCATATTAATATGGGGATCTTAAAGTTTAGTAATTTTAAATTATTTGAGTATCATGTCATATCGAAGGTTGATTTTATAATTTTTATAATCTGGACAGACCTATAGACCCACACTAAGATTGATTTTAATACGTACGTGTTCTGATATTTAAAATAATTTGAAATATGTATTTTACTGGAAGTCAAGTAATTGGAAAAAAGGCTTCTAAAGTACTTTTTTAAAATGGATAAGGATTTAAAAAACGAACGACATGTAAAATGTTTTAAATTCAATGTGCAGATAATTAGTACTATCTTTTTAATTTAGTGCTTGATTTCAAAAGGCTTGCTTAATTAAATATTGTTAAATGCTATCATGTGATGACCTTTCACTGCTTGATTTTCCTCTTAAAGTTGCTCAATTTTATATCGCAATTTAGCAAGTTTTTTTTCTTTTTGTAGGATTTATTGGCGATGGCGATTATCCTGGTTGGTTTAGCCAACGTTATTGCAACACCGTGCTGTGAGCATGGCCATGTGAGTTATTTATTTTAATTGAATTAATAGGTTAAGTCTATATTAAATCTTACTAATATTATAAATACGTATCTTTGGAGGTATGAATGCGTGTTTGTTAGAAGGTATCTCTAGAACGACTTCATGAATATCGCTGATATTTGGCATAGATGTAGAACATAGTTTGGAAGAACTGATAGCATATTAATTAAGTTTTCTTTCCACGCGTACGGAGTCTCAGGCTACTTAATACTAATAATATTTGATACCAACTATTTCATTGTATTTCAGAAGAATTGTACACGTAAATTAAGACAAGATTCACCACCAAAACTGGATCACATTCCTAATAACGGATCCAGTACACAGTTAACAACATTTAAAAAGAGTACATTAAAACCGATGGCAGAAGATAAATTAAAGAAGGAAACCGCGACAGAAGGAAGAACGAGGAAGAAATTAAAGAAGTTAAAGGATAATAGAGAAGATTGGGAAGAGTTAGTTATTGGGCAAGAAGACGCGGAGGTATTGGATGGAGCTATGGACAGAGAGGATCATGCGACGCATTATTTGACGGAGTTATTAGTTAGTAAATCTTACTAATATTATAAATGTGAATGTATAGATGGATGCTTGTTTATAGTATCACCAGAAGGGCTGTATGGATCTTGCTGATATTTGCCATATATGTAGAACATAATCTGGAAGAACACATAGGCTACTAATTAAGTTTTTTTTCTAAATATCGCGCGGACGGATTCGCGGTTGACAGCTAGTACTTACATATATAGAGAAGAATCAGTATATATAGACATCCCGTTCTAGCTGGTAGATATATAGATAAGAAGATTAACTAGGTTAATTAGATCCATCTTACCCAAGTCATATGTTTCGGAAAACTAAGCTCCTGCAAATAACTGTCATTCTTCGGGTAAAAGAATTTTTAAGTATGCTTAAATGGTTTGGAGACATTTAAAGGAGATTAACAACGCAAATTTATGGGGCGAAATTGTATGACAGTGTCTTCCTGGACGGACCAATACCGAGATTTATGAAATAGTCATGAAAGGCTGTATTTTAAGTACCCGAAACAGAGATGTATGAATGTAGAAGTGAGAGTGGTGTGTCAGGACCACGTTAAATAGAGGTCCATGGTCTCTGCCTACCACACCAGGTTACAGCCATGAGTTATTTTATATTAATTTTAATGTAAATTATTTTTATTTTATGTTTACAGCCAATTCATATAGACGAAGAGAACGAGAGGATGGAAGACATACTACAGTTTTGATGAAGATTCAAAAGAGAAAAAAATTAGATACTTTCTATAAAAAAAAATCGATTACATATAAAAAAATCATACTATAGATAGAAAACATTCTTTAGGTTTCGTAAAATGTACTTTACTAATTTTAAATAAATATACCAAATCAGTCGAGGGAAAACATTTCTAAAAAATTAAAAAGTAAAATGAAATTAAATCCTATGATTTTTTAGTTAAATATAAATCTACTTTTCGCGTACTAAAAGTTTAGTTTTGAATAATTAGTTTTTAGTAAATGAGTTAACTTTAGTTGACAGTATCAAGTTGGAAGTTTACGGGTTTTATGTTCGATTTATTTTTAAGTTATTATGTTAATAAAAAATAAATTCCAGCTTGATACCTTCACGCGTTTTTGAGAAAAAGGATCTTGATAGGTGGACGGACGGACAACAAAGTGATCCTATAAGGGTTCCGTTTTTTTTCCTATGAGGTAAGGAACCCTAAAAATCGGTAATTGTATCTTATATCTGGTCATTTATTAGAGGTCACATAGACAAAGGTTCTAAATTGACCTTTTAATATTAGTTAAAATGAAAAGATATTAAATATAAGATTTTCAAACTTAAACCTTAATAAATTGTAATTAGTTATATTTTAATAAAACATGTCGAATTTAAATTATAAGAAGAGAATAAAATAATATTGAATTTAAAAGTACTTTCAGAGTGTTTCATTCATAACAAGTTGTAAATATGGCTACTTTAATTAATTTCATCATCATCAGCTCACTATACGTCCCCACCGAGGGGCTCGGAGCCTACCCTAAGTTAAGGGTGATTATTATTTAATTTAGAAACATAAAATTATACGAGGCAATATAATTGTTACGGTGAAAGAAAACATCGTGATGTTGCACATATCTGAGAAGAAATTCAAAGTCAACCCGCACTTGGCCAGTGTTTTTTTTTATATCATAAGGTGGCAAACGAGCGAGCCGCCACCTGAAATCGTTGAAATAGCGAAGTGACCGTTGCTCATAGACATATGCAATTGCATATGCGTTGCCTACCTTTGATCGACGGAAGAGAGGATGCACCGGAAAGTCCACTTTCACTTCCCATCCTTTCCTTATAAGAAAAAGGGTGGAAGGGAAAGAGGACTAAATTAGGCCTCCGGGACGCACACTCATCAGACGAAACGCGGAATAGCTTCCACTTCACGCTTGTCTTCTGTGTGGTCGTGGTATTTCACCGGGCGAGCCGGGCCAATTCGTGCGAAGATGTTAAAGCGCGCTCTACCACTGTTAAACTCTACCAGTTTGGTTGACTATGGCCTAATCACCCTTAACTTAAGGTAGGCTCCGAGCCCCTCGGTGGGGACGTATAGTGAGCTAAGGATGAATTCTCAATGAGGTGCCCAAATCAAGGTATTTTACCCTATAAATGAATTAATCGGATAATCTGCTTAGTAACAAGACTGTATAGCTTTGACCTTCACAAAAATTGGTCCTTTGCCAATTAAGGTTATGTTAAAGGTCATATAAAAATTAAACTTTTTTATCCTTAAAACTATTACAATATAGTATGTATATCAGGTACCGATACATAGAAGAGAGACCTGCAAGCACGAGGTGCCGAGGTCGTATCTGTTAATAGATTCATGTCGTGTACAGGTCAATAACGTCCGTGTGGATCTCTGAATCATCGTCACTACGAAATATATCTATACTGACCATTACTATTTGTTTACCCTAAATTTAAGCAGTAGCAGCGCCTGCGATGACCCTTAAGACATCTTATTTTTGAATGATTTCCCCCGACACTAAAAAAAGGTGGCGCCGAAAAAATCTCGCCCAAGGATGTAAGGAAAGGATTATTATAGAAGTACTAGCTGTAGCCCGCGACTCCGTCCGCGCGGGATTAAAAATATGTAGATGTTTGCCGATTCTCAGACTTACTCAATATGTTCACAAAATTTCGTGAGAATCGGTCAAGCCGTTTCGGAGGAGTATGGAAACGAAAATTGTGACACGAGAATTTTAAATATAAGATTAAACACTGACTATTACTATTTGTTTACCCTATTCTATGTTCGTTTACCATAGACAAACTGTTACGCTACAATTCCAAAATATTTGCTAAAATACTTGTTCAATGAAATAAGTCTTAACAAATATTATTT